ATTTTAATAATGTGTTTTTTGAAAAATATTGCTATATTTTTCTATAAAAAGTTTGACTAGAAAAAAAATCAAAACGACTTATAATAAGAAATAGAGGGAGTAACTAGCTAATTATTGGTCAAAATCTTTCAAGTATGGCTTTCTAGAATCAAAATATATACAATTCCTTCCGTCCTATAATATTGCAACATACGATCGGATAGGACACATTCTAGTTCTTCGAATCTGGACATTTGATTTTATGTTGCTACATTGTGGGACCGAGAGAGTGTGTACGCGGTAAAAGTGAACGGAGAGAGTATCTCTTGTGCCGTTAACGTTGTGCGATATTTTTTAAGCATCACTAGCAAGCTACTGAAGTCCTGAAGCTAGCTACTCTCTAGCTGCTAATGGCAGTAGCAATATATAGCTGGTTAGACATCACTAGCAAGCGTCATGTCGCCTCTTGACAGCTTTATTTTATCAATTGACAGCTTTATTTTCTTTGCTTGATCTCATCATATTATTGATGAAATAAACTAATTAATGCTATTAATTTCGTCTTTCAAGTCAACATCAAAATTAAGAATCCTTCGGAAAGATCACCACACGGGAAAAGCCATGCAGTGCACATTTTGCTCTCCGTCCATATAAACCAATAGTATCTACATATCCTTGGAAATTTCTATAGAATAAAACTAAACATGTTGACTTTTCACTTATTTTTCAACAATAATATATTTCCCCTTCCACTATGGTCGTCGCTTGTACGTGACTATAATAGGTCCTGTTAGAAACGCTAGAAATGTTGAGAAGCAAATGATGAATAGCCAACTGGTGAGAATCTAGAAAAGTGTGTTTTTACTTATAACTTTATAGAGTAGAAAAAATGCCCGTGCATTGCAACAGTAAAAATATTTTTTTATCCTATACATTATACTCCCTTGGTTTTGGACCAAATGCTTCCTTGGTTTTGGACTGAACGCTCATTCCTTCTTCATTTTCAGCTCTAGTCATAGCCCAGTCCGCTGCCTCCCTCTGCTCAACCTACCTCTCTTTGGCTCAGCGCGCCCACAAGTAGAGCTGTAAGCCCAACTCGAATAGTCCCGTGCCTGTACCATGACGGAGCCTATCCTCTCATCAAATCCGATAATCCAGTCGAGCTCGCATAGTCCTGTGCCCGTACCATGGCGGAGCCTATCCTTCCATCAATTCTGATAATCCGATCGAGCTAGTCCTGTGCCCGTACCATGACGGAGCCGATCCTCTCCATTCAAAGGGAATATGATGAGAGAGTAGTGGGGAATCGGTTTTTGCAATCAATTAGAGGAGGAAACGCATGGAGAGACAAATCGACGTGGCGGTGGCGCTAGGGTTCAGCCCGACGAAAAAACCACGAAAAAAATAGAGACAAAAGAAAGAAACCCGAAAACCGGTGAAAGAAAAAAAAGAGGGAACAGTGAAAAGAAAAGAAAAAAAAGGAAAACGGTGAAAAATAAAATAAAACGGAAAAAGATGGGAAAAAAGAAAAACAGGCGAAAATTATAGGTGGAAGCATATGTATTTTTTATTAGGTATAGATTTCTAGATTCTATAGCTTTTGATCCTTGTAATCTAGATGAAAAGCTTACGGGCCTCTTTGATTTAGAGGATAAACATAGGAATTTTGGAGAATTTTAATCCTATATAAAAAAATTATATAAATACATTTGAAACAAAAGATTGAATCCTATCATATCCTATCCTATTAAAGTCCTATGGAATGAACAATTCTACAGAGATTTTGGCGGAAATTTAGCAAGAGCTTCAACCTCTTGGAAATTTTCCTTTGAGTCTATCTCTCTTATCCGATTCGTACTTTTTCCTATGGTTTAATCAAATGGTTATTTCTAAGATTTCCTGTGTTTTACAATCCTCTGTTATGCACGAACTCCAAGAAGTTATGTGTTATAAGGTTCACATCCTCTGTTAGTAGTTGACTGTACTATTAAACTATACCATTAATAGCATAGCCAACTATTAACTTCACATCATCTATCAAAAACTCTCTAAAAGACAGGGCCACATACTCAGGGGGTGTTTAGATCCAGGGGTGTAAAGTTTTGGCGTGTCATATCGGATATTATATAGGGTGTCGCATGGGGTGTTTGACACTAATAAAAAAACTAATTACAGAATCCGTCAGTAAACCGCGAGACAAATTTATTAAGCCTAATTAATCAGTCATTAGCAAAGGTTTACTGTAGTACCACATTGTCAAATCATGTAGCAATTAGGCTTAAAAGATTTGTCTCGCAAATTAGTCGCAATCTGTGCAATTAGTTATTTTTTAGCCTATGTTTAATACCTCATGCATGTGTTCGATATGACGGGGTGTAAAATTTTGGGTGGGATCTAAACATGGCCTCATTAAAACCAACCATTGACAAGGTCTAGTGTGGATGTAAAGTGTGTAAACTAGAGTGCTCTGTATGTAAAGATGACTAATTTTATACTCCCTCCGTTCCAAAATAAGTGCAGTTTTAGCATTGTTCATGTCCAACGTTTGACTGTTTGTCTTATTTGAAATTTTTTTATAATTACTACTTTTATTGTTATTAGATGATAAAACATGAATAGTACTTTATGTGTGACTAATTTTTTTTAATATTTTTCATAATTTTTTCAAATAAGACGGGTGGTCAAAACAATGAACACGGATATCTATGGCTGAACTTATTTTGAGACGGAGGTAGTACAATTATTGTATTGGGTATATATATCATTTGTGCAACTACTAGTATACATACGTAGTACTCCCTCCGTCCCATAGTGTTGCAACCTAGGATGGGATGAGATACATCAAACCATCCTAGGACTACGAATTTGGACATGATTCGTAGTCCTAGGATGGGTCTCATCCCATCCTAGGTTGCAACATTATGGGACGGACGGAGTCCTATATATGTAGGCCATGCTCTCGGGGAGAGAGAGAGAGAGAGAGAGAGAGAGAGAGAGAGAGAGGGGCCAATTGGTGTTGCGATCGAGGCTAGGTCAGGTCATGACGCAATGCAAATGTTATATGGAATGGATCAGAGTGATAGAGGAGAGAGCTGTCGAGCTGGGATTGCAGCATCTCCAGCGCCAGGAGCACCAGTTGCCGTAAACAACACCACACAGTTTTTCCCACCAAATATAAAAGATCTTTCTTGGCACAGTGCGTTCAACAGTTGCAAGCAATAATATTATTGGCTAATTAGTACTGACTTTTATTAATATTCGCCTATTATACAATTGATACCACCTCCGATCCATTCCTAAATATACTGACCAATGTCATATGAAAAAAGAATAGAGAGAGTAGTAATTAATGAACTATATCAGTGAACATTGACAGACAAAAATAAAATCATACTAGCCATACTGTGCAAAAAGCACCATATATAATTTGAAAACGACCGGTATAGTTTACACTCATATATACTACTCCATCCGTTTCAGTTTATAATGCATTTTGACTTTAGTCAAAGTTAAACTGTTTTAAGTTTAACTAAGTTTGTAGACAAATATAATAATATTTATAATACTAAATTAATTAGAGTCATCAAATTAACAATTGAATATATTTTCATAATAAATTTATCTTGGATTGAAAAGTCAAAACGTAATTTGACTTTGACCAAAGTCAAAACGTCTTATTATAATGGAGTAACTTTGTAAATCACACTTGAGTGTATTGCGTGATTTCTTAGGATGCTACGCTATCTCACAAGCGACTTACGTACTATAAATTAATGCAGTGAACATACTTAGAGAGTTGAATTTTACCACGATTTAATTTCGATGGACTAATTAAAGAAAATCTCAAGGTTTCGAAAACGACATGGTACGTCGTGCGCGTATATGTAACTATTGACCATGTATTCATATGCACGAATTGGTACAAAAGGGTGCACAAATTCTGCAATAACTGTTGGAAATGTATATATATTCATACATATGTGTGTACACTGCTCTCTCCATCTCTAAAATACCTTATACTCCCTCCATTTCATATTGTAAGACTTTCTAGCATTGTTTATATTTATATAGATGTTAATGAATTTAGACACACACACACACACACACACATATATATATATATATATATATATATATATATATATATATTCATTAACATATATATGAATGTGGCCAATGCTAAAAATTCTTACATTGTGAAACGGATGAAGTAGTATTTAGCTGGTCTCAGATATATTAGTATGGTTGTGAAAAGACGAATATGCACTTCATTAAGATTATATGCTTCTATTATACTACATGTTTAGCTAGACTTTTGGCATGCCCAAGCTCTAACAAATGATTTTTGCACCTAAATCGATTTCAATTAGGTGGGCGAGAGTGGGGTTTAACCAATAGAGATAAAATAAGGACAATAAAAACAGCTAGTGGACCACATATCTCCACACGTCTCTTAAAAAAAGATTTATTTTACAACTGAATTTGAAGATAAGGTATTTTGTAATTGAGAAAGTAAATACCAATATACTCCCTCCGGTTATTTATATTTATATTTAGCGTTAGAAAAGTTAAACTTAGTTTTCCCATCTTTAAATATATATAGTGAATGGATCGTATCGTAAAAAAAAAGACAACCGGATTATAGTTAAATAATTGGCCATGTATTGATATGGTGCAAATTAACAAAATTTCGCAGTAATGATTGGCCATGTATTCATGTGTACATTTATCAATATATCAATAAAAAAGACAAGAGGATAATAATAGTAATAATAAAGAAATGGAGAAAAGGAGTCGAGGGGTTGGGAGTTCGACCGTACGAGGAGGTAGCATAGCAGCAGAATCGACCCCAAGCTTTCCTTCTCACGTAACATGCCGTTATTATATTATATATATTAAAATAATTAATCCAATTATTTTTTACCAGATTAATATTAATGTAATCCGTGTGTCAGCAGGCTTGAGAGGCTGCAGGTGGGCCCCATGATTCCGGGACCAATCACAGCTCGACAGCATACTGACACCCGTCCCCAAAAGCAAAGAGGCCTCTCTCTCTCTCTCTCGCCGATCCCTCTCCTCCTCCTCTTCTTCTTCTTCCACTAGCTAGTTCGTCTTCCTCCTTCAGCTAGCTTGTAGCAGCTAAGGTTAGGTCGGATCGAGATCGGGATCGGCCGCCGGCGAGCGGCGAGCGGCGAGGATGGGGCGGGGGAAGGTGCAGCTGAAGCGGATAGAGAACAAGATCAACAGGCAGGTGACGTTCTCCAAGAGGAGGAATGGATTGCTGAAGAAGGCGCACGAGATCTCCGTCCTCTGCGACGCCGAGGTCGCCGCCATCGTCTTCTCCCCCAAGGGCAAGCTCTACGAGTACGCCACTGACTCCAGGTACACCTATAGCCTGATCGATTCCTTGCCATTTCTGGAGCACCTGAGCCCGCCTGAGATGGATGAACTCAATAATTCTCCTAGCTTTTTGCCGTTTCTGGCCGGCCGCTTCCATGGATTTCAGCTGCTGCTCTCTGAATTTGCCATGTTTGGTTTGTGCATCTGGTTGCATGTGTGCTACAGCTGATGATTTTATGCTTCACTAGTGCTGCAACACATGCAACACAGTCCAATCCAAGCTAGCTCAGCTACTCCAGGAGGAGGAGTCAGCTGCATGCCTCCTCATTTCGGGAAATCATCTCTCTCTCTTTCTATTTTTTCCCTTTCCTTTCTTGTTTCCCCTTTTTCTTTCCTGCTAGCTTGCTTCTCTCTCTACACCCTGCATACCCTTTTTGGGATTGATGGCCGGTTTTAATTAATTTCCCCTCCTTTCTTTAGTTAATTACTACCCTACTACTAATTCATCTCCTCCCGATCCTCTCAATTTCTCATCATATGGAGTACTACTAAAATATATATATGTAGTACGCACTTGGTGTGGCCGGTCTTTGTTAACATCATGTGCTTGCTTAGATTCAAGGGGATTATATATATAAGAGGATCTACTACTAAGTGTACTTTGTGATTACATCAGCTATCTATGTAGCTGATGATCTTGCTTTGGTCTTTTGCTGATCCATTGAGCTAGTGCTAATTCTCATCACCCTTCCATTTGATGTACTGCAAATAGTTTTTTATTCATTCGCTTCTTCTCCCTCTTCCCCATGTGATTTGATTGCTAGCTCCTTCCTGACTTTTATTTGGGTTGATTTCGTCACATCTTCCTCTCAAATTAATCTCATGCGCGTGCCTTTGTTCTCCACCTGTCAAGAAATTAATTAAAGAATATATCACACGAATTACGAGGAGTCCACCACCAGTGTCATGCACTCCTCCCTATTGTTCACAGTCACAGCTGATGCATGCAAAACATCTTCTGTTTCTCAAGTAATTAATTCCCCTCTTCTTGTGAGGCTTGGCTTAAAATTACTCAAACAGCTGTTTTTCTTGCTTATGCATCATCTTCCTCAGATACCAAAACGTTGGAGATGGACAGATCTGGCCTTTCCTCTTCCCTTCTCTCTCATCCTCTTCTATGTTTCTGCCTCTTCTTATGATGAATCTTTATTTGGTATTATTCACGTTAAGCATCTCTTTAAAGAGCCCTAGATCAAATTTGATCTATCTCTTTTGGTTTAACTTCATGGCCAGTTGCTTGTGTGTTTTGGTCTAGAACGACCACGTACGCGAGATATTTCCTTTTCTGCTCAGCTGATTAATTAATAATGATGGGATAATTCACTAATTATTCTGGAGTTAGATCAAGAGATGTACTTAAACATCCTGTGACACGATGACTTCAAAAAATAATCTTGCTCTCTGTAAAATCACATAATAGCTAGCCATCGCGCGTGTTTCAGAAAAATAATTTATCTTGCTTGCTAGCTTTTGCTCAAAATGCGTTTCTGACGTCTAGGTAAAGAGGACTTTTACGGTCGTCTGTGTTGTACTGGAACAGTGCCCTGCACACTCCCCAGCGTCAAGATCAGTCTAAGGCGCTTCATTTCTAGCTCAGAAATCTTCACTTATTTGATCTTAATTATAGATCTTCCTGAGATAGATCTAAGGGTGTTCCAGTAAAACAGAAGAAGTCAAGTTCTTCAGGATCCTCGTGATATAATTAAACTGTAGTCTCACAATCTTACTGATCATCAAGGAGTCTGTAAACACCTATACGTACGGCTATAGGATTATGGGGAGGTTGGTCTAAAATAAAGGTGTTAAATTACTTGCAATTATCAAGATGTGCAAATCATCACCCAGTAATTCAATGGTGCTATTATATATAGTCTGTTTTGAACAGTTCCACTGGTTTTGTTAGGGTCCTTGCTGATGGCTGTTTAACGGTGCTGTTATATATAATCTTGATTATTTTTTTTGCTAAATTTTCCTAAGCAACCCACTTCAAATTTTGGAATGGGTGAATTCTTATGTTCACACCCTCATATCACATGTGTCATGAGGAGCTTTTTTTTCGTCACACAGTCCCATACAACGTCCCTGTTTTCTTGAAGATAAGATAATTCATGCATGCACTTGAATATAACCGAGTGTTTTCATGTGCATGCTTTTTATTTGGCTGTGTCGAGTGTTTAGACAGCAAAAGAGCTCTTGTGCATACAAATGCCGATATCTATATATTAGTAGTCTTAATCCACATTTCAGCTTTAATTGCTTGGAATAGTTTGGTAGGCATTCCTAGCTTCAGACCATTTAAATATACTTCCTAAACGTTGTCATGAGAATGCTGAATGCAAAGTATTTACATATATAGTGGACTAATTTCAGATTCTGCTCATGATGGTTTTCCCTGCAGGATGGACAAAATCCTTGAACGTTATGAGCGCTATTCATATGCTGAAAAGGCTCTTATTTCAGCTGAATCCGAGAGTGAGGTAAAACACAGTAGGTTGTATGATATATAACTTTTACATGAAGGGAATATTATTGTTCCTTTTCTATTGCATTAGCATTTCAATCATATCATTTCCTTGTGGCCTTTTAAATCACATGTTAACAAAGCAGTTTTTCTGAATTCTATCGTTCTACTTGCCAAAACTAGATGTTGGTAACCTTCTGTTTTATACTTTTTAACTTCAAACCTCGTGTCTTTTGCACTCTGGCATATTTCTTAAAATTTCTACTTATTGGGATATCATGCAGGAGAGTCCTCATTCCCTTCATTTAATCCCCTCAAATTTTATTTATTATGGTCATACAATTAATGGGCCACATGCATGGAAGTCGATCGCCAGCTTGCGATCAGCATCCTATCATTAATGTTATGATCTATACTAATTCTTCTGTAAATAAATTAAAATTGCACTAGTTTTTAACTAAATGCTACTATTCTATTTTTTTATCCATACTCCGTTTGAGTGGTTTCTTTTGTGTTTCATGAAGCAATATAATATGCTTAAGAAAACATAGAAACATGCACAATACAATAATAGCGCTGGTAGAATCCGGTTGGAGACCAAATGTTTCGATATTCTAAGTGCATATTTATATATACTAAGTAAAACTGTAATCATAAACATGCATATGGACTGTGATCGATGAAATGTTTCTTCATTTTTTTTTTCAAGATAACTCTTCCCCAGTTGACAACATGCACTGCATCCAGAAGTACTCATGGTATTTGTTTTCAGTACTGTTTGATGAGTAAAACTTTGGTAAGTGTTAAAAAATGATGATAAGTGCAAATATTTGTTCCTTTACCACTTCCACCTTCTTGGAGTAAAGAAAAAAATGTGTGTGGTTTGGCAAAGTTGTTGCATATATCACGGCATTAGTGTGCGGATAATGCGAATAAATGCATCAATAAGCACTAGGAGTAAGTTAATTAGTTCTCTACCTTAATTGAAAAGTTCATGTACATTTAAAAAAATTAAACATGCCTCTTTTTATCATTTGTTGAATTTCTACATTTATCAAGACAGCAAAGGAGTTCTCATCTACTAATAAATTAATTTAAGGAGCTATAACTCCCTTAATTTTATCAAATATTCACATACACGGTTGCATTTGAGGATTTTCTATATACTCCACTAAATGAGGATGCATTTAGGTTCTTTATAATATTTTATTTCCATCGTTTCATCATCTGTTTATGTTTACAGTAATTTAGTAATAGTTCTCTAATTTTGACAGTAATGGTTGGCTCACAGAAAACATCAACCAACCATATATATTGGTTTATACTGACAAAGAGTTTTTTTTTGTACAGGGAAATTGGTGCCATGAATACAGGAAACTTAAGGCAAAGATTGAGACCATACAAAAATGTCACAAGTAATCGATATATATATCCAATTTCTATAATAATGTTAAATAAATTTCGAACTAATTGCACTAATTATTATTTTTAAACCAATTTAAAAGAGAACTTCCGGTATTGACTGCTGAAGATGACGTGAAACTAACTTATGTATCTTGTGTAGACACCTCATGGGAGAGGATCTAGAATCCCTGAATCTCAAAGAACTCCAACAGCTAGAGCAGCAGCTGGAGAGTTCATTGAAGCACATAATATCAAGAAAGGTAGTATTTTTTTGGATAGTGGAATCTTTTTATTTGAACTCCCGACCTCTACACACCAAATGTACAGAAAAAAAGGAGCAAATTATTAAAAGAAACGTAGTAATATATTTAGCATGTTCTGTTTCAAACTGGACTGAATTGAAATAATTCATGCATGCGCATGCCTGAGTTACATAAATATATATCCAAATGTCTTGTTGTCACTGCTACTTTGAAACAAATGTTCTTTTTTTTTTCCTTTTTGAGAAAATATATGAGTAAATATTTTCAGCACATTCTGGAGGAACAATTACCAAATATAAACTTTTTAGCACATTCTGGAGTACAATTACCAAATATGACGGACTAACTAGAACAATATGTTTGTGTTTGCAGAGCCACCTTATGCTTGAGTCCATTTCCGAGCTGCAGAAAAAGGTGACCAATTGAACTGCACTACTGTGTATGCATGTATATATGAATCGTGCATGCAAACCGTTGTTAGCTAGTAGTTAGTTATAGTTTACTCTTGGTTAGTCTCAACTGATAGTGCAGTTTTCTTGCATGAGTGCAGGAGAGGTCACTGCAGGAGGAGAACAAGGCTCTGCAGAAGGAAGTAAGTTGTCGAAAATATAGTATTTACTGCTGCTTATATTAATTAATTCATTCTGCTTGACTAGCCAATGGAGGCACTAAACATAATTAATTCATGCGCATTGGTTTTGATCAATTGATTTATCTTGTTGACAATTTTCCAATCTATCCATGGGTTTAATTACTAGTTTTGTCAATGGAGGCATTAGAGATAATTAATTCATATGCGCACTCGAAAGTTTGAAATTGCTGTAGTTTACTTGTTGGGTGGATCATATCGCCAATAATTTTTTCCCCCACAGTTGACCGCAAATGAGAAGTAATTTTCTTTGCCTTCTAGACTTGACGGCTATTTTTTTAGCGTGTTGGCAATTGAACATATGACCTTGGGTTAAAACCACACATCTTTTATCATTGCGCTATCAAATACATCTCGATAAATTTGTCCCTTACTAGCGGTTTATGTGGTTTCCTTGGTGGTCGGTTTGTGCCTCTTAGAAAAAAATCGTGATGTTTGTAGTGTGCGCATGCAGCTGGTGGAGAGGCAGAAGAATGTGAGGGGCCAGCAGCAAGTAGGGCAGTGGGACCAAACCCAGGTCCAGGCCCAGGCCCAAGCCCAACCCCAAGCCCAGACAAGCTCCTCCTCCTCCTCCATGCTGAGGGATCAGCAGGCACTTCTTCCACCACAAAATATCTGGTACGTATATGTCTGCATTCATGTCTCATCAGTTGCTATTCAGTTATAAATTAATCTGTTACTGCACTAATTAAGATCGATCACACCCTTGTTAAGTTCTAAGTCTCTAATTAATTAACTGCATGTATATAATTATGCACATCTGTGCATAGTAGCTACCCGCCGGTGATGATGGGCGAGAGAAATGATGCGGCGGCGGCGGCGGCGGTGGCGGCGCAGGGCCAGGTGCAACTCCGCATCGGAGGTCTTCCGCCATGGATGCTGAGCCACCTCAATGCTTAAGATGATCATCGTCGTCGTCGTCGGCCAAACAGCTGCCGTATGCACCGTGAATCATGGGAGCAACCTTGAATGAATTGAAGTCATTGGTATCGATCCTAGCGATAATATATATGATTCTCCTAAAATGAAATTGATCTCAAAAAAACAAACCTAGCGATTAAGCTATTCTTATATATGTGTTTGCCTGCTGCCCCCTACCCTACAGGCTACATATGATTTGCAAGAAATTAATTATGAGCAAGGATCAGGATGTGTCTTTGTGTAATCATCAGCACGTACCTAGTGCTTCCTACTGATATATATGCATGCAATTGTGTGCATATAAATATATTTGCATGCCATGCTCCCGTGATGGTTAATTAATTTATGATTGTGTTTATACGCTAATTAACTGCAGATGCAAACTAATCAATCGAATTATATATCTTTTGTGATTGGATATATGGCAGGGGATTACATTTGGTGGTTTCTCAATTAATTCATTATTATGGAAATTTAAGAGTTCAAGATAATTTATATGATAATAGGTGTATATAGATAATCGTTAGTATTTATTAGTGACTACAAATGAATAGATATGTACTACTGGTTAATTAGAACTGCAAGTTATGCATGTATATATATTGTCTCCATATATTTATTAATTAACACGACTCATTATGAAAGAGAAGAACTATTCCATGGTAATTGTACCATCAGGTATGTGCTAAAAATTGTTTCTCTTTTGATGGGATCGAGATATTCACATTGAAACATAAATGAGTGAACTGATCATCCTTCTCTTTCTAGCTGATTGAACTTTTCATTGAATTGTCTAGTCCACAGCAGAACATCACGTTGAAATATATAAGTGAATTATATGTTTTCTTGGGTTACATGTAATTAATACGCACACACATCGTACTCACACCCACATATACACCCTCCAAATATACTTAAAAGTGACGAAGGCCAGCGACATTTAATTTACAGGACTTCATTGGAGGGAGCTTCTAGCTGTTACAGTTTCTCGCAGAATCAGAAGCTCCCCAAATAGTCTAGCTTTTGGTTTAGATTCTAATAAGTTGTAGTGGTAGAATTCAGAAAATGAACTAGAAGCCAAAAGCTGGCAAACCTAGTTTTTTCAAATTCTCAGAAGCTGGCTACCAATCAGTTACTTTTCAAAATCTTAAGCTCCTCCAAACAAGCTCTAAAATTACGTTGAAAGTGTTGCTTGTCGTAATAGTGCTGAGGGTAGATGGGCTGTACACCCCGAAAAAGTTTTGCGCAAAACAAAACATACTGTATAAATGAAACAATTTATATTCGACAAAGGAAACCTAGCTATTCAAGGGAATAAATCTATACCGTACGAGCCAATTTGATAATCTGTTGGTAAATGTCACTACTATATCTAATTTATCTTGCCATTTAAGTCAAAGTTCCATCGTTGCTAGGATTCTAGCAGATGAAGTCGTGTATCCAGAATACTACCATCACATTACCAGTGTTATTCGAAATTGTCTATTCTTTTTTGCTTGACCACCGTAAACTTTTACACCAAATTGGTTAACATATTAAAAAAAATTATTGTAAACGGTGCAACCATGCATATGACACCATGTCATACGAAGGGAAAGAAAATACTGCTACACATACTTAAAAAATTCTTACATAATTATTAGATGGAGATTACAAATATCTAGATTTACTTATAGCATGCCACATTTAATAAAAAAAATGTACTTACATCCTTTTCCGAGGAAAAAATAATCACGATATGCTTTGGTATGTGGTAGTGAGAAAATCAGCATTGATATTGCCGGACTAAACTGCAAATCAAAGAAAATCTTTAATGTTGTTACAGCCCCAATTTTCATTTATTTATATGCTTATCTAAATCATGTATATAGCAAACAAAAAGTTATCTGTGAGTAAAATTTTTATATGCGTGTCTTTAATGGTTCAAAAGCAAATACTGTAAATAAACTACGATAAAAAATTTAAAATTAGATTTAAAAATTAAATTTTAACCTATAAATATAAGCATAAGCCAAACTACGAGGACGGGCTTCCTGTGTCGCTCTCACACAAAAGAACCAGGGTTTCGACAGAAAAGAGAAAAAGAAAGGAAATAATGGGATTGGATGGATGGGTGTGGTGTCTTGTAATGCCACTGGGCCGACATGATTGAGAAGGCCAGCCAATAAGATTTAGGGCCCATTAACAAAAATGATCTGGTGTACCAGGGTTTGCCACGTCCACATTGCTCCATCTCTGGACAGTTCCACACACATACACACACACTCTCTCTTTCTGTCTGATTGCCTTTGCCTTTTCTTTCATCTGCAGCCATTTGTGTCCCTCGGATAATAATCATTCACTTGCTTTGTGCAACCTTTTGCCCCTTTTTCTACTTCCTCTTGAAGACTGTGCAACCTTTTTTGTTCAGATAAAGCTGCAATTTGAACACCACACATCTGTCCCCCATTTTAGTGTAAATTAAGTAATTACTTTTGAAGGTTTTGGTGTAAGTTAAATACTACTTTCGCAGGTTTTCGTGTACTAGAGCTTAAGGTGCTTTGGGGCAAATCTTAAATACTACTGCATTGCATCTGTCTCATATTACTTATCGTTTTGACTTTTTTCTTACAACGTTTGAATTAGTTATTTTATTTAAAAAATTAGTATAAATATAAAAAATAATAAGTCAAACTTAAAAAACTTTTGATAATAAAACAAGTCACAAACAAAATAAATAATAATTCCAAATTTTTTTAATAAGATAAATAATTAAACATTATAAATAAAAACTTAAAGCGAGTACGGAGGTAGTACATCACTAACTTTATATTTTGGAATAGAAGAAACATGTAACACAAAAATTTCACATTAGTGGAGTAATTTTTACATGCTACTATATCAGTTTAGTATAGTACTCCTAACAAGTCCTACTCCTACCTAGTAAAAAAAAAAGGCAAAATAGGTTATACATATAATTTTAGACAAAGAAAATGTTATACAGGCTTCAATTTGGACAACTACTAATTTCAATTGAGTAATTTACATCAGTAAATGTACAGTAGGACTAACTCTTGGAGGAGTATTTCCAAGAAAGAAAGAAAGAAAAATGGCGGTGAAATGAAATGTCTAACGCAGGGAAGGCGGCGGGTCCGGAGTAGGCTGGGCGGCGGCGAGGTCGGCGGGGGAGAGGGTGCCGGAGTGATCGGCGTCGAGGTTGTCGAACTCGTCGAGGAACTCCGATATGTCCTCCTGGCTGATCTTGCCGAGCTCCTTGAGCTTGTACAGCACGAAGTCGGCGGCCCCGACGCGGTGGTCGCCGTCGAGGTCCGCCGCCTCCAGGTCCATGTTGGTGGTCCGGCGCCGCAGCACCCACCTCGCCAGCTCCCTCTGCCGCCGCTCCGTGTACAGCTCCGCCGCGTACAGGAAGAAGAGCGCCACCACCACCGTGCTCACCGTGATCCACGCCACCGCGAACGCGCGCCCCCCCTCCGACGAGAAGCTCCGGTCGCCGTACCCCAGCGTCGTCACCGTCGCGCACACGCAGTAGAACGCGTCCACCGCCCGCATCCCCTCCACCTTCCACAGCACCACCGTCCCTGACGCCACCGCCGCCACCAGCAGCAGCCCCGCCGTGTAGAGCTTGTACCTCACCTTGTTCATCTCCATGGCGCGCACCATCGTGTGCGAGTGCAGCGCGCGGAAGAGGAGCGCCTCCTGCTTCTCGACGAGGTAGTCGGCGGCCTTGCTGAGGAAGGTGCCGACGACGGCGACGCCGGCGAAGACGAAGGCGCAGGCGAGGAGCTTGGCGGCGTCGCTGGCGGGGACGAGGTCGCCGTAGCCGACGGTGGTCATGGTGACGACGCAGAAGTAGAGGGCGTCGAGGGCGCGGGTGGTGCGGGTGCCGGACATGTGGTCCATGGCGAGGTAGAAGGCAATGGTGCCGAGGAGGAGGTACGCGACGAGGAGGAGGCCGACGAGCCGGAAGCTGGGGCGGCCGCCGCCGGTGAAGAGCGTCTTGGGAGGCGCGTCGGCCGCCGAGGAGTTGTCCTTGTCCGTGGGCGGAGGCTCGGAGGAGGGCGCCGTCCTGCATCGCCGGAACCTTCTTGCCGCTCCTTCCGGCGGCGGCTTCTGGTCGCCGCCGTCGTGAAGCAGCGGTTGTTGGTCGAGGGCCGCCATTGATTTGGTGATAATTGAGGTGGAATTTGAGCTAAGATTCAGAGGTGCAGCGATCGATCGATCATCGATGTGTGTGAAATAGAAATTGGGAACAGAAACAAAGGAGATAGAGGTGTGTCTGTGTTGGATTGGTTTCAGCATCAGACAGCAGGCAGGAAGTTAATGGATGGGGTGGTAATTAATTTAATCAGTCACTAAGAGCAATTTTAATAATATACCCCACTGTTTAGCCCTCACATTTTAGCCTCAAATTAGCCCTCAAGAATCCAAACAGATGGGCTAATTTTGAGCTAATGTGAATTAGCCCCCCTCAAAACATTAGCCCCTCCCAGGGATGCTAATGGGGCTAATTTTATATGGGGACCATCAAAAAGCTAGGCCAATATTTAGCCTACCAATTCATGACTAAACATTAGCTCTTAAAATTAGCCCTGGGCTAATCTTCCAAATATGGCATCAATCTAATAACTCATTCATATAATAGTTAGCTGTAGAAATACACTACATCATTAATACATAATCTACCCATCTTTCTCACATGGTTTATTAGAGCTCGTGCTGCAGCTGGCTACAGATCTGTAGCCCGCTTTTATTCTCTCTCTCCTCCACACAAGCAAAAATCTGACATGGCAACTTGTATAGCCCGCTTATGTCAACTCTCTCTAAGAGCAAGTTTAATAGTATAGTCAACCTGTATAGCTCCAAATCATCTATAATCAATCTAATAGTCAGTTCATACAATAATTACCTTTAAACATATACTACACAATTAATACATGGTCCCACTTGTCATACACACATATATCTTGGAGTTCATGCTGTAGCCGGCTACAAATTTATAGCCCCGCTGATCTTCTCCCTTATCTTTTATCTTCTCGAAATAAGTTTATAGCTGGCTTATAGTCTGCTATGGTGTAGTACTGCTCTAAGTAGGTGATTACTCCGCAGCATCCGGATTGGATAGGTTTTGCTTAGGTGTGATAAATGAATGGGTGTGACGTGTCTGTTGTGATGCCGATGCCGGCGGGGAGGTGGCTGGTTGCTGTGTCGGTACGGACCTATTCTTTTCTTCACATGTGCGAATATATTGGTTACTGCTCCAGCTGTGAAGGCAAAGCTGAGTTGTAAACAGCTACCCGGTTCATTTTCGTTAAGCACATTTTTCGATCCAAATGCTACACGGTGTGTCTCGTAAAATATATATATAAAAATTTCTTTAAAAATTAAACAAATATATTTTGTAAATAAAAAAATGCTTACTAATTGATTAGTCGTGCAACTAATTATCTATATCATTTATGTGTGCCTGATTAGCTTAGCTAATAAACCTTACCAAACACAGTATAAATGATACTCTCTTTTAGGAGTACATAGGATACATTTTTCTTTTCTAAAAAATTCTAAATAAAATATAAAAATAAAAATTTCCAAATTTAAATTCCTTGGAAAAAAAATAACACGAGTAAATTTTATACTCCTAAATTAATCCCTTTTATTTAATTATGCATGCCACCTATATGATCAGGGGTGGACCGGGCCTCAAGCCACTGGGCCATGACCCTGATGCCTCCTGGACTGCAAGCCCACTGTGCTGAGTATGCAACTTCTTACCATGCAAACCTCGAGAACTTCAAACCAGAACTCGATGCAGTTGATGGGAGCATGGATTCTAATTTAGCTATGGCGAATAACAATTCAGCGTCGTTATCTTTGAATACTTTTTAGTCAGAAATCATCATAAGCAATTCTTTTACTTGTAAGTAATAAGTCAATGAAAGCCTTTATTCATTGGATATACGTGTTACATGTACTATATATGAATCAAGGCCATGCATATCCATGATCCATATGGAGAGCTCGATCGAGCCACCAATTAATTAATTAACGGTATTTAGAAACATAACTAAATCAGTTAATTAATCCAATAAAGGGATTAATAACAATGTCGACAACGTTATTTATTCATTAATTAACTAATTCTTCTGTATGCGATCGAGCTGCAGCCATAGACGTCGACGTATTTCTTCTTCTTTTTCGTCGTCGTCAAGCTAGGAGCAGCTTGTCCTTCTTCTTCCTAGGCAGAGACGACAGGGTAGGACGGCGCCATGGCGACACCGCACGCGCCCTGGCTGCCGACGTCCTTCTCCAGCTTCATGTATCCGCCGTCCCCCCAGGTTGTTCCCCACGAGTTCTTGATGATCCAGTAGCCGCCGCCGCCGCTCCCGTCCGCCTCCGCGCCGTACCCCACCACCGCCACCGCGTGGTCCAGCTTCGTCCCGCAGCTGTCCGCCGTGAACACCCCGCTGCCGTAGTGCCGGAACATGGCGCCGCTCCCCTCGATGGCCACCGACACCGGCTGGCTCGCCACGGCGGCGGCCAGCGACCCCTCGTCGTTGGGGTTCACGCGCTGGTAGCCGCTGATGGTGGCGGCGACGCCCGACGCCGACGACGAGGCGTCGAACTGGCACGCCCCCTGCGCGCCCTGGTAGGCGTAGGCCGCCTCGGTGGTGACGCCGCCGCTGTTGGCCATGTACTGGAACGCATTGTCGAGGCTACCGCCGGTGCAGCCGCCGTTGTCGGCGCAGTCGAGCAGCTGCTGCTCCGACAGGGACACCAGCTCGCCGGTGGTGATCTGGTGGATGCCCTCCACGGCGGCCACCGTCGAGAAGGCCCAGCAGCAACCGCAGGATCGTTGGTTCTTGACGCCGGTGACGGCGCCTTGCTGCCGCCAGTCAACCTCGGCCGGCTGCTGGTCATCCTCCGACGAGAGGCGGGTGGTGGCGTTAGCTGCGGCGTACATGGTATTGGCCGGGTTGTAGCCGGTGTACATGGCGGCGAACTCGGCGTCGGTGAGGTCGGTGAAGCGGTTGGTGGCGAGGCGGTAGCGCTTGTTGCCGGCGGCGTTGGAGCGGTCGATGAGGTCCACGTTGGCCTTGAACACCCGGAACCGGCGAGCCTTCTCGGCGGCGTCCTTGTACGTGCGCCCGTGCTCCGCCATCCACTTGTCGTGCCTCGCCTCCATCGTGCCGGCGCGGCTGGCCATAGTCACCTTCGCCATTGTCGACAGGCCGCCGGCGACGACGAGCAGCAGCGAGGCTGCCATGACCTGCAGCTTACTACTAGTACGAGCCATATGATGATTAATCAACGACTTAATTAGTTACCTAGTGTAACTAATTAATGTAGCTAGCTAGCTTATTACTCGAAGCTATTAGAGGTGTGTGTGCTGTGCGCGGTGTGGTTTGGTTTGGTTTTGGAGGAGGGGCTAGGGTTTATATAGATTGCATGATCGATCAAGTACGTACACTACACATGCATGGGAGTAAGCTGAAAACATCACCTGTAATCCTGCATTATTTATGTTTTCTCAAGTCCTCCCCCTGCCACATTAATGTAGAAACTTACCAGGTTTGATCAATTCCATAGCAGATCATTAACTAGCTAGTAATTTCAACCAAAGTAATTGAGCTAACTCATCTAGCTAGCTGGCATAATGGAGTGGAGTATATCTTACGATGTGCCTCGAACTAGATGATCTCGCGCGCAGTCCTGAATGTGGATGGTGGACTTTCTAGATTATAATTCCATTAATTCCGAGCCGTCCCCTCCCCGCCCGAGCGGATCATTTCCTGCCTAATCAATTTGACCGGAAAATTAATGTAAGCTCATATATGTTTCAACTTTGACCACTAACTTATTAATAACTTTTAGATTATATATATATATATATATATACACTCGTGCTCCATGGAGTATGGGCTCTAATAGAATCCACCGTATACGTGCTTTGAGATCCGTGCTACATAAACCGGAGTATTATACATCTTAACGGGTTAAACCCAATTAGATCTTTCCATCAGCAATAGGCATGCATGATTTGCATGCATGCATGTACTGACGTGATTGAGTTTCCATTTATACGTTCACTCCTATTGTTTCCATATAAACTTTCATGCACATACTTTCCATTTGAAATATTAATATGATTGCGTGATAATTGATTATCGAAATTTAAAATGACTTTCCATATTTGAAATATTAACATTATCACGCTAATATTTATTTCCAAAAATCTGAGATTGCACTAAATCGAATCCACTAATTTTTGATTTTTTTTTGCTTATTTCCATCAATACGAGTAGACATGTCATTTCATTCTAATACACACTCCACTTTGGGCTCCACGCTGTTACACCGCCGCACGTCGGCGAACTTCTTCATCGCCGAGTCGTTGTGCTACCAGACGTGCCTGAGCATCTTCGTCGTGGGCTGCTGATTGTTCGTGAGAGTCTTGGACGTACGCAGCCGGTTATCCACAATCTTCGTCGCCAATCAGTTGCGCCGCCGAACATCCACGAGCTTCTTCTTTGCGCCCGCTCGTCGTTCGCGACAATCGCAGCAGTCGCTTGTTGTTCGCGACTCCATCCCAAGCTCGCTCCTCGCCCCACGACGTAATTTTCGGCTTCCAGTTCCTCCGCTTGAATCTTATCAGCGAACCACGTTCAGGTATGTGCTCCATCCATCCATCTTTTCTGGTTTATGTTTCATGTGGCTGAGGCACTACTCAATATATTCAATGTTTTATTCCAATATATTCATGCATCATGATCAGTACCTATTGTTATTTTTCAACGTCCAGTGTAATCATTTCCCATTGTTTGTTTTTTATAGGAGACATATGCAGATATCCTCGCTGATGTCAAGATTGGAGTTGATCCTCCCAAGTTGCTCGTTCGTCATGATAGGGATCAATTTGAAGATCAGGCAAAACCAGCGACCCTGAAAGCGTGCGTGGATTGCAACCCATCTGACAACAAATAATAATCTATGTTGCTCCTTTGTATTAAGAATCATATATTGTAATAATCACCTCGTGGCACCTACTCCCTCCGTCCCAAAAAAATGCAAACCGTGGGTTCCCGTGCCAACGTTTGACTGTCCGTCTTATATGAAATTTTTTTATAATTAGTATTTTTATTATTGTTAGATGATAAAACATGATTAATACTTTATGCATGATTTATCTTTTTAATTTTTTCCATAATTTTTTCAAATAAGACAGATGGTCAAATGTTAGGCACGGAAACCAGGGTTTGTCTTTTTTTGGGACGGAGGAAGTAGCTTTGAACAATGTTAATTTTACTTTAGTTGCTGGACAATTTTTCTTATTGTATTATTCCAATCGAAATAGTATAACTGTTTGCCCAAATTTCGTGTCTGTTATCCATAAATTAGCTAAACTTTCATATTTGTATTCTGGGTCATATTCCGGGTCATAGTATACCTAAGTTTTAGATCGCATACCCAGATTTCTGTACACACATAGGGTATGTACGTATATTTGGGTCTGTATTTTAATCTTGTTCCCATTAACTGAATACCCGGTATATTTGGGGACATACTTATATTTGGGTCTATATTTTAAACTTGTTTTCCTAAACTGAGTACCCGGCATATTTGGTTATATACGTCTGTTTGTGTCTATATTTTCAACTTCTCCCAAACTGAAAACTTGGTATATTTGGGTATATATTTTCAACTCTTGCGTATATACACGTCGTACGTCATATAAGTATAGCTAATTTTACTTCGAATACCCAAATTTTTTATCATAAACTTAATACATAATAACATGAAAATTTGATCATGGTCTGTGATTTTTTTCCCTTACATACACAATCTTTGAGTATATGCCCATGACACATGTTTGTACTCATAACCTTATATAACAAACCACAATTTTTGCATAAACCGAATAAACAATACACATGTCTTTTGTTTTAAATTTTAAATAGAACTATTTGGATAGATGTCATATTGAATTTTAAACCCAACCTTTTGGCAAATAGAAAATGCGAGAAATTCAATATGACAACCATATATGAAGATACATTTTTCATGCCGTGCGAATTTATTTCAGGCCCATTAAGAACTAATATCCGCGTTCATACCTAATATTTGGGTATATTTGGTTCCAGTAATCAAAAATCAAGTGTGTATATTCTATGTATAAATATGGAAATATAGCCATAGTGCATATTTTGTACGTCTAATAGCTAAATTAATGACGCCATAAATGGAAGTATATAGGTATGGATATATTACCATATACCCAGCCGTAATATATTTCCAAATACCTAGTTTCCTTTTTCCAAAATGCCGCTGATCAGTATTTCCATATACTTAGTTCCCGTGTTGCCAAATACCGAGGATCAGTTTCTAGAATTAGATACTTAGTTTAGGATAATTCCTTTTGTTTTTCCATATAATTAGTTTCAATTTTCCAATTTTCGCACTTTCCATGATTCGTACATATATTACCATTTATTCAAACCCCAACTTCGGGCAAGTGATTTTCCATATTTTCGTGATACTATTCCTAATTGTATGGCATTAAAAGTTTCCATTTTGAACTTTACACGCAATTATGGAAATTCTATCATCCGAATTGCATGCATGCATTGAAACGTATTAATTCAGTGTATTTACTATCTATAACTACGTTCAAATATATGGAATTCATTCACTGTTAATAGCTATATTCTTAACGGGTGTATAACCATTAAGCTAATATACCAAAATGACTGCACCGATCATCCACGATCCTACGGCTCCCGACATTGGAGCCCATACTTCATGGTGCCCCATCCGGGCGTCCTATATATATATATATATATATATATATATATATATATATATATATATATATATATATATATATATATATATATATATATAGAGAGAGAGAGAGAGAGAGAGAGAGAGAGAGAGAGAGAGAGAGAGAGAGAGAGAGAGAGAGAGAGAGAGAGAGAGAGAGAGAGAGAGAGAGAGAGAGAGAGAGAGAGAGAGAGAGAGAGAGAGAGAGAGAGATTAATGCTTGTATAATCACTAGTATTGTACACCATGACATTAGAGAAAAATTTGTGCATTCCACTAATTCGTGACATGCATCTATCTGCATCTGGGATTTTCTGAAAATAGCACGCTAGACATATAATAAATCCTCCAAATGTGCCAAACAACAGGAGCCATGCATGAGACCTTCAACGCAAGTTCCAAAAGAAAATGGTCTACTCCTCTAATAATTAATATGAGGTCACAATCTCTTAAACATTTCTGGCCGCTAACAAAAATGGGAAACACGCATGAATGGTAACTGATCGATGCTAAATTTCAATAAGACGAACAACGGACAGTGGGTTCTTTCTTTTTTCTCTGCATTTTAATAAAGGCAAGGAAGAGCAGGACAAGGAGGAAATTAAAGATGTCTGATCTTCCAGGGTTCCTGAGCGTGAGAGTGCTGCGAGGGGTAAACCTTGTTAGTCGTGATGCCGGCGGCAGTGATCCCTATGTTGTGCTTCACCTGGACAATCAGGTAGCCTGCCTCTTCTTTTCTTTAGCTATATATTAATCGTTAAAATCTATTAATTCTCCGATTTGTTCATAATTTTTGAGATCCACAAGCACAAGGACTTGAACATTGACATTATATATACTGTTTTGGATGTGCTGCTATATTTTTAAGTAGTTAACTGTAGATGCACTTTAATGTTTTATACTATTGCAAATTAATTTTAACTGTGGGGACAGGACAGTAAACAAAGCCCATGTTTAGTTCGTGTGCCAATTTTTTTTAAAGTATACGGATACACATTTAAAGTATTAAATGTAGACTAATAACAAAACAAATTACAGATTCCGCTTCTAAACTATGAGATGAATTTATTAAGCCTAATTAATCCGTCATTAGCAAATGTTTACTATAGCATCACATTGTTAAATCATGGCGTAATTAGGCTCAAAAAATTCGTCTCGCAATTTACATGTAAACTGTACAATTGGTTTTTTTCGTCCACATTTAATGCTCTATGTATGTGTTCAAACATTTGATGTGACGAAATTTTTGGAAGTTTGAAGGAAACTAAACACTGTCAAAGTACAACAACGTTCACCTTTCTTTTTTTTTTTTACAACTATCGAAAACAGAAAAGTAATGGTAATGTGCACAAGGAATCCATTTATTTCTTTACCTGATTATCCAATAGTACTGGTATGCCCAGTAAAGAAGACTTAAATTACAGATAGACTAAATAAGATAACGAGTTGATGAGATGTGATGTGCTAACCTATTTGACAACAACAGTTCTTTAATTATAGCGTCAAGTTTCTTCATCAACATTTTGTATCAACTCTAATTTGTCATTTTATTTGCCTACACAGAAATTAAAGACAGGTGTGGTAAAGAAGACAACAAACCCAGTTTGGAACGAAGAGCTGACTTTAGCTGTCAGGAATCCAGAAACACCTATCCAGCTAGTAAGCATCTGTATCTCTATACTTATATCAAATGCTCAAACACTAAACTAAGTAGACAGTTCTTACCACTCTTACTGAATTTTTTTTTCAAAAAGACAGGAAACTTACGATATAGGCTGCCTCTTTTTCTCAAACAGGAGGTATTTGACAAGGACACATTCAGTAAAGATGACCAGATGGGTGACGCAGAGTTCGACATTGAGGCGCTGATGCAAATCGTGAGGATGGATCTGCAGGACATCCGCAGTGGCACCGTCGTACGCACCGTGCGACCCGGCAGACAGTGCTGCCTAGCAGACGAGAGTCACATTGTGTGGGAGAATGGTCAGATTGTGCAAGACATGCTTCTCAAGTTGAGAAATGTTGAGACCGGCGTGGTGCACCTGCAGCTGAAATGGGTGAACATTCCAGGTATGTACTCTGCACAATTATAAGGCTGGGGTGCTGGATTCGGACTCATGATACGTCAACATTTAGCATAATAGCACTAGATGGTCAAGTACAAAAGATTTGGCATAAAGAGATCAAAAGATTAGAACAGATTGTCCACTGTTTACTATTATTACCGGATTCATGCTAGAAATGATGCATTCAGATTAGCAAAACACCATTATTATTAATCATGTTGAAACCAGTAGCAGGTTTAATTTGTTTAACATTTTTATTTTATGATTTATCTTGTTGAACCAATAGCAGTAATGGTAGAGGATTTGTATCAATAACAACCTGCATGACATAGTGTTCCAACTTGAATCTTCAGAGAGTAAGCCTGTTGCAATTGAATCAAGAGTATTTGGACATCGATCTTACGAGAAAAAGAAAAGAGTATCGGACATCCAGTCTTGTCCATTGTTCATTGCTATTGCCTAAAATCCTAGCATCTTTCAGACTAACTTTTTTTTAAAGATAATAACGGATTAAACAATCCAGCCTACACAGCCAGTCTTTCAGACTAAGTAGTAATTAGGATGATTTTATATGCTATCTCTTGCAAGCTGCAGCAGTTGGCAAAGGTAATCTAACGAATTTTCTTTCACATTAGGCTGAAGAAGAATCTGAATTTCGGTACATTCATGCAAAGGTAAAATGTTATAGAGTAAATGTAATATTGGCTTTATTAAGTTTTCCTCCTCTAGACCTGTTGATCATTCATCGGCACATCGGAAACTAATCTAACATAAGCAATTTGATGGTGCAGATATTGGTTCCTCAAATTGGTGAAGAAACCGGTGTTGTTTTGTTTCAGCATTTTGCCATACACATTAATTGTTGTGTTGTTCTTCAGACTGTATGTAGCTGCCTGTATATGTATGTAATTTCTGTGACAATGTTGATCAGACTTCAGAGTATATGCATTTTGCCATACACATTGCTGTGCTGTTGTTGTTGTTGTTCAAGACTATATATATGTACTTCAGCTGCGTGCATATGTAATTTCTATGACAATGATGGGAATTCCAAATGCAAGTCTTGTTTGAAACAAAGATACATACTGTGGTTGATATGAATGGATCGATAAAAATGAATGCATTTTACTGGAGCAGAGCTGAAGATGAACACGTACGTACTTTCCGTCGGAGTCGCCTAGAACCGCTTGCTTCCTACTGTCGCGGCGGAGGGGACGTCACCAGCCGGAGCTCAGGAGTGGAGCCACTCAAGGGATTGAAAGAATCGCCCAATTCGAGGACCGGAGCGGCAAATCCTGGAGAAACTGATGAAGTCACCATATGTGTCTCACCGTCGATGGGTACGTCGCCTACCACTGAAAGCACAACGTCGTTAAATCCTAGAAAATTCGCTCCCATGGGGAGTCGAACCCAGGACCTCAGGTGCTACTGAGGCTCTTGTAACTACTAGGCTACAGGCCCTTTCGCAAGAATCGCCCAATTTTCCTAAGCCGATCAAGTGGTCCCGATCGAGAGTGAGGGATGGGGAATAATCCCTTCGGCACGGAAAACGAAGCAGACCATTCGAGATTTCTAATTCACACGTACGCGCCCCGGGCGCGCACTTCTGGCCCACGGCCCACGCGTGTCGCGGTGCCGTCGACGCTATGAATCGCGATGCCGTTGATGCTCTAAAGATCAGTTTTTTTCTGGTGCTTTTTTTAAAGTAACGTAACTAACTATATTAGTTAAGGATAATAATAGTAGTTAAGGAAATATTTTTTTTCTTTTTGGGAGATTTTTTTTACTAATAGATTGAAAATTTTTAAGTTACATTTGAAAACTTTTGACTTAAGATTTAAACTTTGAAGTTAAATTTTAAAAACTTTCAACTAAGGTTTGAAAACTTTCAACTCGAGATTTGAAAACTTTCAACTTTCATCTCAAATTTGAAAAACTTTCAACCCAGATTTGAAAACTTTTAACTCGAGATTTGAAAACTTTCAACTTTTATCTCAAATTTGAAAAACTTTCAACCTAGATTTGAAAACTTTCAACCCAGATTTGAAAACTTTCAACTCGAGATTTGAAAACTTGCAAATCAGATTAAAAAATTTTAAGTTAAGATTTAAAAATTTTTAAGTCAAGATTTTAAAACTTTCAACTCAAAACATTCAAAAAAATATGTGTGCTAAAAAGATTTAAAAAAGTAATTAGAAAAAAGGACAAAAAAAGGAAAATAATCATTGTAAAAACGAATAAAATGGCATGGGGGAGCCGGGACGCGCCAGCAACTTTGCTGGCGCGCACGCGCGAATTAGCAACACCTCAGACCATTAGCACGTGATTAATTAAGTATTAGCTAAATTTTTTTCGTAAAATAGATCAATATGAATTTTTAAGCAACTTTTATATATAAACTTTTTTTTTAAAAAAAAATACACAGTTTAACAGCTTGGGAAGCGTACGCGCGAAAAAGGAGGTGGCGGGAAGCAGCGCACCCAAAGACGTACCAACTGGAGGAAAAAATACACCCAAGGTCCCTCAACTTGTCATCGAGTTACAATATCGTCCTTGAACCGCAAAACCGGATATGACGCATCCCCCAAGTTACAAAACCAGTGCAAACTATGTCCCTGGGCGGTTTTGACTCCGGTTTTGTCCTATGTAGCAGCTGACTCAGCGTGGGACCCATGTGGGCCCCATGCGTCAGCCACTTCTTCCCTCCCCTCTCCACCTCTCTTTCTCCCTCTCCTCTCTTTCCCAATCTGCACGGGCGGCGCGTGAGGAGCAGCTGCACGGGCGGCGGCCGGCGGGCGCAGGCGGCTTGGGGAGGAGCTGCGCGCGGGCGGCGAGCGACGGAGGCTGGGCGGGCGGGCGACGTCCGGCGGGGGAGGAGCTAGGCGGCGGTGCACGAGCTCCTCGCCGGACGAACGCTAGACCGGCTCCGCCATGTCGGCCGCGAGGAGGTGGCGCGCCTCGTCGGCTCGCTCAGCCGGAGTGCCGCCGACGACGTTTACGCAAATGACCTGAGAATTTGAGATCATTGCCATCTTGCTGTTCTCCTTCAAGCCCTATCAACAAGATTGACACGATTAAGCACTGGATCGAGATATGATCGATCGAGCAGCACCGACGAACTAGCCGCCGATCATAGAGTCAAATGCTCACATCTCAAAAGCTTCAATCCACGTGGACGAATCAATCCATTAAACTTGTACGCATGCACATCACGCACGAACACCACAACACAAGAGGACATGAAGCTTCACCTGCAAATCTCTCTATAAATACATGGCAAAACCATCAACCTAGCTAGCACACAGCAACTTACACATGGGCCTCGTGCACGCACTCCTCCCCTTAGCAGGAGCAGCACGCTACGCCGCCGCCAGCGACGGCCGACGACCCGGGCCTCGCCGTCTACTGGGGCCGCCACAAGGAGGAAGGCTCCCTGAGAGAGGCCTGCGACACCGGCCGCTACAACACCGTCATCATCACCTTCTACAACGTCTTCGGCTACGGCCGCTACTCGCTCGACATCTCCGGCCACCCGCTCGCCGCCGTCGGTGCCGACATCAAGCACTGCCAGTCCAGGGGCATCACCGTGCTCCTCTCCATCGGCGGCCAGGGCGGCGGCTACTCCCTCCCCACCAAGGCCTCCGCCGCTGACGTCGCCGACAACCTGATCTGGAACGCCTACCTAGGCGGCCACCGCGCCGGCGTGCACCGCCCCTTCGGCGACGACGCGGCGGTGGACGGCATCGACTTCTTCATTGACCAGGGCGGCGCCGACCACTACGACGACCTCGCCCGGCTGCTCAACGGCTACAACAAGTATTACGATGACCTCGCCCTGCAGGTTTAACGTGCTGGTGAGCTCCGCCGTCTCGGCGACCACGCTCCACATCTCCTCCGTGTCATTGTCGTCGCCGGCCCATCACCAATTCACCATGCGAGAGACGATGTCGCTGGTGAGGCCCATCAGCGCGGCGTCGGCGTCGACGTGCTCGCCGTTGGCGGCACTCCGACTGAGCGAGCCGACGAGGCGCGCCACCTCCTCGCGGCCGACGTGGCGGAGCCGGTCTAGCGTTCGTCCGGCGAGGAGCTCGTGCACCGCCGCCCAGCCTCCGCCGCCCGCCGCCTGCCGCCCGCGCGCGGCTCCTCCCCACGCCGCCTGCGCCCGCCGGCCGCCGCCCGTGCCGCTGCTCCCCGCGCGCCGCCCGTGGAGATTGGAAAAGAGAGGAGAGAGAGGAAGAGAGGTGGAGAGGGGAGGGAAGAAGAGGCTGACGCGTGGGGCCCACGTGGGTCCCACGCTGAGTCAGCTGCCACATAGGACAAAACCGGACTCAAAACCGCCTCGGGACCTAGTTTACACTGGTTTTGTAAATTGAGGGATGCGTTATATCCGGTTTTGTGGTTCGAGGACGATATTGTAACTCGACGACAAGTTGAGGGACCTTGGGTGTACTTTTTCCCCAATTGGACCACAAATTCTTTCTTTCTGTTACGTGCGGCCCATATTTGTTGGGCCGTAACGGAATTTGGAATTTATGCGGCCCAAGAACGGGACTGGGATTTGTTGGGCCCTCCCGCAGGTGCGCTCAGACTCGCCGTCGCTCCCCCAATCGGCCGCCGCCTCCGCCGCGTCTCGTCCACTTGAAGAGCAACATCTCTTTCACTCCTCGAACCCTAGCACCTCCAAATCAATCATTCTCGATCTCCGCGCGAGAATGAGATCCTCCTCCACCTCCAGCCTCCAGGTACGCCCCCGACTCCATTGCTCTCATTTGTGAGGGTTGTATGACATCCATCTGCGGCGGGGCGGGGCGGGTGGAGACGCCGCCCATTTCTTCTCAACACGGCTAGCATGCGACAGAGGAAGCCCTCAAACTGATGGGCTAGGATGCTTGGCTTCGATTCGATGTTGGTGCTATATGATTATCACAAGACTTCGTGTTAATCTTTCTAATCATTACCCATCACCAACTGCTACTTCATTTTACACTTGCTGCTTTAATTTATTTACCTTACATTTTGCTACTCACATAAACTTTGTTCCAGAAACATTGTTTGAAAATATGGTGATTTTTTTAACTATTGTTGATAAAAACTTGGTGCTGTTATGGACCTGGCCTGATCTGTGGTGGCGAATGAGTGAGGGGATGGCATCACTCTATATATGCGAAAAGCCGAAAACAGCCATGTGTTCTGCTCTTTGTTCCTTTTTGTTTAAGTTTTGTTGCTGGGATAACACTTTGTAGCCTGCCTCTCATGAATCATGATGGAAATGGAAGGGGTCTCCCTCTTCTGGCTATAATACATTTGCTTCTCAAATATTACAGTACATTTCTAAAGGAAAGAAAAAAAAAGATATGGTAAATTGAAACTTCCATGCCTTTTTCCATATCTATTTATAGGTTTTGCACGTGTTGTCCAAATGTGATCCTTTATAGAGGTCACACCTTTATCCAGGTTTCTTATCCGAGCTAATCGAAATCCAAGAACAAAAATACTACTGTGGCAAAAAAGAATAAGGAAGAACATAAGGAACTCCCACATGTCCAAAAATGGAAGCAATTAGTTTGGTTTCAATACAGGCCACAAAAGAAATGGTCAGCTCAACTCCTACGGTTGAGGCTCACACCTCATTCACCCTGTCCTGAGCAATCCTTTTTAGGCTCCTTCCTGCAAGGCTGCAACTATATAGGCCGATGAGGACAGAAGGGGGAAAAAACACAGGCGCATTCTACCGAGAGGCACAGGGGTTGCAAGAAGTCGCCTAATTCTCCTATTGAATTAGGCACATCTTCGCCCCCACATTGCCTCTCATTGTAAAATAGTATCAACTGATAATCCACAGGAACTAAACAACAATTAAATCCAATTATGGACGGATTGGTAGGCCTCTTGAAAATACGGGTGGTGCGTGGGATTAACCTTGCCTACCGCGACACAAGAGGCAGTGATCCATATGTCGTCCTTCGCCTCGGCAAGCAAGTATGATTACTTTTTTGTTTTTATATCTCTAGCGATTTGCCTCATCTCCATCTCTTTTGTTTGAGTATATATTGTTCTCAGTGTCTTACCGAGTTTTGTGTTTTGATCATATTACAGAAAGTGAAGACTAGTGTAAAGAAGAAATCTGTGAATCCTATTTGGCATGAAGAGCTAACTTTGTCGATCATGAACCCTATTGCACCGATTAAGCTTGTGAGTGGATGTTGTTTTCTTACAAGCATGTGTACTAACTGATTATGATATTTCATGTTCAACCCTGTTTTTTTTTAATGAATGCTCACATTGCGGATTTTCTTCTTCTGTTGAAATAAACAGGGGGTGTTTGACAAAGACACTTTCAGTAGAGACGACCCAATGGGAGATGCAGAAATAGACCTGGAGCCCTTCATGGAAGTTCTGAACATGGACCCGGAGAACATTCGGAATGGTTCCATCATAAAAACAATTCGACCATCCAACCAGAACTGCCTTGCTGATGAGAGTCACCTATTCTGGAGGAATGGTAAATTTGTCCAGGACATTATTCTCCGACTTAGAAACGTCGAGAGTGGTGAGCTGCAAGTGCAACTGCAATGGGTGAAAATTCCTGGCAGGCACTAAGTGTCTCATGGCCATTGGGAGATCTTGGCTACTGAGATATCATTGACATTTCCGAATGCCAAAACATATATTGTGCGAAATGGATCATGTCAACCATTGGGGCTGTAAATACTGTGCAAAAAATGAATCATGTCAAGCACGTTTTGATGTGGAGGTTGTGACCAGCAAAGGGTTCATCAGGTTAGTCAATGTCTGTAGGAAAGGAAAATGATGTTAAAATGTTGTTGCCGAAATGTATTGGGAGCATGATCAGTAAAGCTTGGGATGACATAATCAAATAGTACAAACGATAGGACCATGTTTGCCTGTGCTTTTGCAACAAATCAATCACAAATACTGTTTCTCATGTGGAATTCTTCTTCAGTGTCGTGGCAATCACTATCTGAACTTTTGCCTGAACCTCAACTTTTATCATCTTAAACAGTATTATATCCTGTTATCTTGAGAATTGCTTGCTGCTTAACGTGGCTCGATGCAGTCAAGTGGGCGAATTCATTTTTGCGATTCTGAAAGTGAACCCCTTCTCTAGTAGCAGTAACATTTTTTTTGCCTGAATTTCTACGGAGATGAGAGTAAGGGACAAGTTCAACTGAAAGGGAGAGGCAAAGAAGACGATGATGCCTTTGTTCGTCGTCGTCGTCGGCGATGGCTGTGGACCGCAGGCGAGGTGATAACCCAACCAGTGGCCATTGATCCTCTTATCCTCCCGCGGCGACGACGAGCGGATGCCATCTCCTCCTCCCCGCATTATCCGCAGTTGCAGCGCACGGGGCGCAACAGGACAATAGGATAAATTCCACAATTCCAGTAGCCTACAAATTCTCACCTGCTCCCCTGTTTCTTGGTTCCCCTTCCTCTCTCATCAGCACACACTGTCACCACAACAGCCACCAACTCCTCTCAACTTCTTGATCCGGCGGCGGCGGCAAGATGTTCGGCGGCGGCGGCGGCGGCGGGAGGAAGCCGCTGGACTACGAGGAGCTGAACGAGAACGTGAAGAAGGTGCAGTACGCGGTGCGGGGGGAGCTGTACCTGCGCGCCTCCGAGCTCCAGAAGGAGGGCAAGAAGATCATCTTCACCAACGTCGGCAACCCACACGCGCTCGGCCAGAAGCCGCTCACCTTCCCCCGCCAGGTCACTACTCCTCTTTCTTTCTTCTTCCTCTACTACTAGTAGATTCGATCGATTGATTTCTCCCTATTCTGTTGTGTTGTGCAGGTTGTGGCGCTGTGCCAGGCCCCCTTCCTGCTCGATGATCCCAACGTCGGCCTTATCTTCCCCGCCGACGCCATCGCGCGGGCCAAGCACTACCTCGCCATGGCACCCGGTGGACTAGGTATCACAGTCACACACAACTCTAGTGTTCTTGGCAAACCTATCATGTATCCTTTCCTCAATCGAAATGCTCCCATAAGTTGTCAACTTTAGCTTCCTTGCAAAAGCCTTTTTAGTTGTGTATGTAGTTCTTCTCTCGTAGCCCATACACGCGAGCTCGTTGACTCAGGTTTTATGTAATCAGGTGCTTACAGTGATTCCCGAGGTATCCCTGGTATTAGGAAGGAAGTCGCCGAGTTCATCGAGAGGCGTGATGGTTATCCAAGGTCAGAATGATCAAGAGTACTCATGACAAGTCTCAACTGGTGGTGTTCTTTTACATCATAGCTTTCTTGGGCCATATTCTCACACCTGTATCCTATACCTATTGCAGTGATCCAGAACTTATTTACCTCACAGATGGTGCCAGCAAAGGTGTGATGCAAATGCTGAATACCATTATCAGAAATGAGAGAGATGGGGTATGTTATTATTCCTTAAAAGCTATATTTGCCCTGATTAATTCAGTGCTATTTCTACTGAAGACTAATTTCACCCCATCTGATTCAACCGAGATGTGTACCTTCCTTCGCAGATTCTGGTTCCTGTTCCACAATACCCGCTTTATTCTGCTGCCATTTCCCTCTTTGGTGGTTCTCTCGTGCCATACTACTTAGAAGAAGAGGCTAACTGGGGACTTGACTTCGTCAATCTCCGACAGACTGTGGCGTCAGCGCGGTCAAAGGGAATCACTGTGAGTGTTTTACAGAAATTTGGGAGTCACGGTATCTTATTCAGTCATTCATGCAATTACTGTAAATGAGTTCATTACCATGTTCCTGCATACAAAAAACAATACCCCAAGTAAAATAGCAATATCAATGTAATATTGATGAGTTCAAGTCTCTCTAAGTGGAAAATGGTCACTGGAATCAACCTCCTCACCACCGGCCATCGGCGTGTTCTCTTGATCAGTTCAAATCTTTGAGTCATTTCTATAAGGCTTTGTTCAATAATTCATCAAAAATAGAAAGGCTTATATGAAGTTCTAAAGCATGTATGATTGAAACATGTCCCTTGGAGAGGAACCACCGAACCACACTCATTCTGTAATGTTATACTCCTGTGTAAGCAGTAAGGGGTACATATTGTTTTTGCATCTGGTGGAAAGCTATCCTTTTCTTAACCAGTTCCGATAATCATATCCTCATGTTATCTTCACTGGCTCACCTAAAACCTCTGCTAGCTCTTGGACAGAAACGCTAGCCGTTAGGTTGGAGGAACACTTTGCTAGTCATTATCTAGCATGCAAAAAGATGCCCACTTGATGATTTATGTCCATCAGTACACTTTGTTTTGGTTCCTCTTTTCCATGCTTATATTTCTTCCCCTTTCTTTTATTTTCAATCATGCTGTTTGCATAAAAATGTAGCATTTATACTATCTGTATTCAGCTTTGATGTTATTTTTTCTTCCATAGGTTCGAGCAATGGTGATTATCAACCCAGGAAACCCTACTGGCCAATGCCTTAGTGAAGGAAACATAAAGGAACTTCTCAAATTCTGCTTCCATGAGAACTTAGTTCTGCTTGCAGATGAAGTCTATCAACAGAACATTTATCAAGATGAGCGCCCATTTATAAGTGCTAGAAAGGTAACTTTTGATTTCTGACCCGTGATGCTTTATCATGAATACAACATTTCCCAACCTTTTACTTTCATGTGGTATACCAAAAATTAAAATGAACATAATAAGTTGCCTTCAAGTACCAGATGGAACCAAGTTAATTAATAGCTGCTCCTTTTGATGTGGAAATTTAATAGTTTTTTTCACTTATAAATAACTAATACATGAGTTTATGCCCTAATATTGATTACTTTGATCAATTGTAAACTATTCTGATTGCTGATGTTAACATGGACTTTCTCAATTTCTTCAGGTTCTGTTTGACATGGGTCCTCCTATGAGCAGGGAAGTTCAGCTGGTTTCTTTCCATACTGTGTCAAAAGGATATTGGGGGGAGTGTGGACAACGTGGAGGGTATTTTGAAATGACAAATCTTCCTCCCAAGGTGATGCCATTATAGAATATGTGATTGATCTCAAAAGATCGTGATTCAAATTTCTAGTCTTTACTATATAGATTTATAGAATGCAGCTACACAAAAATGTAGATGCAGATACTAGAAAAGATGTTACATTCTTCATGCCATGTTGCAAAGTCTAATAGAGAATATGCTAGTTTCTTGTTGTTATATTTGGTCCACAGTAAAATAGTGTATATGTTGAACTATGTAATATAATCCAGTAGCCCATCCTGCTAACTAGGTTGGTGTAGTTACATTTGTTGCACCGAAATATTCCCTTACTAGAGTGGTCTTTGTCAGTCTCAGAAACTTGAGTATGAACAACGTAAACTGGAGTTTGCAAGTTTGCAACTCTTAGGTTTGTCCAATTTCCAAACTGTAAACTTAATGTTTGACAAATTTTGAAGAGCCTTTGGCAGTTGAAATATTAAGCTTTTAGATAAGATTAAGCACTCGCACAAGATTGGTTATAGATCATGTAATGTAAGATTTTACTTTGAAGTTTGGATAGTAGCACAGATACCATTTTTCTGTTTGCTTGTGATCTAATTACGTTCCTCATTTCATATGACAGACAGTAGACGAGATCTACAAGGTTGCATCAATCGCACTCAGTCCAAATGTTCCTGGGCAGATCTTTGTAAGTCAAACAATATTCATTGTTTTTGTGCAATTATCTAAAACAGCTTTCCGTTCTTCCAGTGGCCAAACCACAAGCTTTAAAACTGGAAATATGATATCCTTAATTTATCCATGGAGCATTACTCAAAATTTCGGTGCCCTGAGATGCCCAAAAATATCCAGATTTTTTTTCCATGGATTGCAACAATAATAGATGAGAGCATCTAAATAATCCCTTATTTGGTCAGTCCATATGTTGGTGATGAGCACAATGGCTTACTTTATTAGCATATAATGCTGCACCTTGAAAATATGTCTCTGTGGGCTACAGCCTTACAAGGAATAGCAAACATGCATTTCTTTTTGTGTTAGAGTTATTCAATGTGGTCTTAGTTCCTGAAACAGTTTAGTTGCAACTGTACTAATTTTCTTGAAGTTATGTTACTTTGCTTTAACAAGTTAATAAAAATGGTTTTAATGTCATTTACAGATGGGTTTAATGGTTAACCCTCCTAAGCCTGGAGATATCTCTTATCTGAAGTTTTCTGCTGAAAGGTATATACTTTCCCTTCTCATCATTTTAATCCATGTCTGCATTTTCAAGGAAAAGAAGACCTACACGGGTATTCAGTTATTCAGTATTTATTTCCTCTGGTAGTAATTTCGAGTGTTCTATGTATAATGTGCCTCCTGATGATGTTGCAGCAAGTCTATCCTCGAGTCTTTGAGGAGGAGAGCACGCCTGATGACAGATGGTTTCAATAGTTGCCGAAATGTTGTCTGCAATTTCACAGAAGGTGACATTAACATATGAGCCCCTTCCTTTATGGCAATAGGAGAAAATGAAGCAGCTTCTCTAATAATGCTCTTCCAATTATGTTGTTGCAGGAGCTATGTACTCTTTCCCCCAAATACGCTTACCACCAAAAGCTATAGATGCAGCCAAAAGGGCTGGCAAAGCGGCCGATGTTTTCTACTGCCTCAAGCTTCTTGAAGCAACTGGAATATCCACTGTTCCAGGGTCAGGTTTCGGACAAAAAGAAGGGTAGGTGTTTCCCTTACATATACATATGTATCTTCAAAGTTTCATAAACATCAGAGATCTCTCAACTAGACATGACTCAGGAGTACCTGAATTTATCCTTTCCAATCAAATTTTTAGATTTATTTGGCAGTTAAGCGTTTTCTAACTTCCAAAAGGACTGGTAGAAAGCATTTGAACCATACATCTGACTTGTCTTCTTGATAGGAAATCTGAAAAGATATCACTGACGATTTTTTGTGTGTATATATAAGTAAGTAAACTGATGCATGGTTGGTGTGCACTGCAGGGTGTTCCACCTGAGGACGACCATCCTGCCAGCTGAGGAGGACATGCCTGCCATCATGACCAGCTTCAAGAAGTTCAACGACACTTTCATGGATCAGTACGATGGCTACTCCAGGATGTGAAATGAAAACAAGATGAGCACTACCCCAGGAGAAGAGAGAAAGAATCTGCCTCAGCGTGGCTGATCGAGCAGTTATAATTAAAAGGCACTGTTAATTAATTAATTAATCAATCAATCGAAAGGCTAATTATTTGCTGCAACAATCTGTAACTCGATCTACTGAAGGAAAAAAAAAACTTCTTGTCCTTGATATGCATGATGTATAGATAAAATTATTTCTGCTCTTTGGGAATTGAATAATACGGGCGCACCCACCGGTTACAGTCTACTATACATGGTCCTGTCTGTAAGGCTGCAGTAGCGAACTATTTCTATGTTTTGATACTGTGAACAAGTTGCTTGGCAAGTCACTTGTGCTGGCTGAAATATAATGCAGATCAATATATGATCAGATCAATGCAGAATTATACATTGGTCTCTAAATTAAGGCAGAGATTTTTGGAAGTAGCACAGTCAGAGACAGACATTAAAGGGGATTATACAGTTGGTTGTTGATGGATTGTAGGTGAATTGAGCAGCATCATGCTCACGCACACAGTAAATCACATATCATCAAATTGGGGGGTTTCTTCTGACTTGTGCCGGCTTGGCGTCTGCTGCGTGCATAAATGTCAACTCTCTTCACTTCAATGATCGTTTAGCTCTATCCAGAATCCAGTATTACATTACTCCCTCCGTCAAGACATGATGCTCGTACTAGAAGATGTACGGGAAGTCGACAAAATTATTGTTGAGATCAAACCGAAACGAACTCTTCCGGATGCAAACGAAGCTCCAATTTGACAAAGGCTGCAAATTTTGCAACGAACGAGTCCAGTCCACAGATCTAAGCGCACGACCTCGTGGGAGACCGTTGTACTGTATATATTAAAGTCAGGAGATGAGCTCATTCTTCAGGAAAAAAAAATCACCATAGATTAAATTAACAATAATATAATCACCACCAGACCCGACTCACTTCTGACCAGACCTGTTCTCTGTCCAAATTAGCAGACATATTTTTTTTAAAAAAAAGACATGCTTTAATTTAGAGGGAGATCTATACTCACTCTGATCCTAAATACGAACATTAGCAAATACTTCGTCCATCACAAAATAAATCAATTTCTAGGTTTAAATTTTATCTCAAAATAAATCAACTTCTACCTTGTTGCCTACCCTTATTCGCAAATCAAGAAATTTTATTCTTTAAATATCACTCACCTACCCATTTATCAATACAACTCTTCTATTTATTAGGGATATTATGATCATTTGTCTTTCCCCTTAACTTCATATTGGGAAGTTGATATTTGATATTTTGTGGGACAAAGGAGTACTAAGAATAAAATGAAAGATTTCCTTTCAATGACCTCGTCAGTTAATTTTTGAATTACATGGATTTTCCTCCTAATCACCTGATTAGTTGAAAATGGTTAAAACCCCGTAAGTTAGAATCATTGTCCAAAAGTATTTATATCTTGTTCCATCTTACAAAAATATTTATATTTTGGGAACGGAGCGCAATGCAAGATCAACGTGCTGGTCCTGCAAAGTCTAAAGAAAAGAAAAGAGTAAGCCGCCACAAGCAGGTACAGTAGACATGTATAGTAGCTACAGTGTAGACGTGTCCTGCTGCCTCGTGTCGTGGCTCACGCTATATATATCGTTAACGTGTCATTGCACTGCATCGATCCAATCGCAGGCAAAATTAACTACTGTAATTATTAAAGCTGTGCCCTTAACTACAAAAGAGTTGAGACAAAAAAAATCAGAGTTGAGAGTTGAGAGAAGAAGAGTTAAGATGGGTGGAGATGAGCGGGCAGTGGCTGCTCCGTTGCTGCAGCAGCAGCAAGACGGCGGCGGCGGCGACGGCGAGAGGAGGAGGAGGCGGTGGTGGTGGGGATGGTGGGACGGGGAGGAGGCGGCGGGGCAGCTGGCGTTCGCGGCGCCGATGGTGGCGACCAGCATGGCCTACTACGCCATCCCGCTGGTCTCCGTCATGTACGCCGGCCGCCTCGGAGAGCTCGAGCTCGCCGGCGCCACCCTCGGCAACTCCTGGGGCACCGTCACCGGAATCGCCCTCATGGTAATCACATTCCATCCCATTCCTTTTGATTCATTCATCTATACCGGCCTTCACCATCTGAAAATCATATCCTTCCTTAGATTTTCCAATTTAATTATCGATCCATTCGTTAATCTAATCAATCATCTCCTTCGTCTCCGGTGGCCGGAGATGCTTGCTTGGCCGGAGGCTCACCGACCGATGGTTTCACTGTTGGTCTCTCTCTTTTCTTTTTTGGACTTTTTTCTGAACAATAAAAAAAAAGGAATGAAAAGATAATGAAACGTATTGGTCTCTCACTAATCCAGTCACGGTGCACCATGCAGTGGGGGCCACCATCTGACATGTCTTATCATACTTCATTTTTGCATCGAGATTCCAAACTCGATATATATTTTTTTATTGTTGGTGGACAAAAATAAATAATTGGATTGCATATATGGTGGTGGTTGGTGATTGCTACGATAAGGATTTCACGAGATTTCAGGCAAGAATGCATATGTAGTTTTGGCTAAATCCAAAACGCCATAAAATGAGCTGGTTTTGTAGTGGTTGTTGTAGATGTGTTGTTAGTATGTAATGAGCTCTACCTGAAATGAGATCTATCATCTACTCCACTACCTATGTCAGTGCAAGCAAAATTTTACAACATTTTGCTTTTAGATCTAAATAATATTCTCTCAAGTCTCAACTAATTGGTGTATCCAAAACTAGAAAATAAACTTGTTAACAGAAGAGAAATTAAATTTACCTCATAAGGTTATAATAGTATATCATACTACCAGTTAATAAAATTAGCCCCAGTCTGGTCAAAGTTGCATGCTCATTTACACTTTCTAACCCCTTGGATCATTTACTGTTTTCTATGTTTTTTCAGTTTGACTGTCATAATGCACATCCCTTATTCCTGCTATATGAAGAATAAATATCACACTTGACATTTTATATGACAGATTGGCGCAGTCGACAATATTTACGTACCACTGAAAACCTGCTAGTCATTTCGCTTTGAAAGGGAGATCTGTATGAAAGATTAAACATGTCATTTTTTATGAATGTTTCAAAGAATACACTTGATTTATTTTTTTGATGAAAATTACAAACTAGATTTAGACCAAACAAATTACAAATCTTCTCATATGTTGGCGCTAATATGCCACATAGTCCATCTGTCTTTGCCTGACTATAAACCAACTACTTGCTGATGTTAACTGGAAGGAAGAAAAAACACAAATAACTTCAACGCCATTTTTCATCAAGTATAGGTGCACACGCTGTTTCAAGAGAAGTTTGTAATCCAAGTGCATCTTGTCACTTCAAAGCATGAGTTCATATATAACTTTTTTCGTTGTAGGGTATATATCAGTCAAAAAAATATATAAATCTTTGAACAGAAATATATGCACATAACCGTCTCCTTTCTGGTTGAAAATAGTGGTGCTCTGTGTTCTTTCGGTTCCAAGTCAACCAGTACATCAGATAAGGAGGATGGAATTTTTTGTTTAATATATATGACAAGATAATTTTATGCAGTCAACTCCTACAGCCATGGTTAAATATTAGGGGTGTTCTGGCTGCAAAAGGGCTGCAAAAGGATAAATTAGATGTAAGCCTGTAATAGTCAACTTAGAATGTTTTATTTTAGATTACAATATAAAAAGTTTTGGGGGGCATTGTTTAATATATCATCTCTGTCCTGAATTCTGATAACGTCCATGCCTGAGTCTCCCAAAAATTAAGCATGGTCAAACTACAGAGTAAAACATAGCACATGGTCACAATTTAAGACCAACTCAACACCCTTGTTCACAACTACAAGATCTTATTGATGAAATGGAAATATATGTCAACTTCTGTTTGGCATGTTTCTCTAGTTCCTTCAGCTCAAATTTTCATTGAGATTTGCTGAACTGGTCATACTCGATGTTACTTGTGCTTTGAGTGAGTCCTAGAAGTTGAAAGTGGGAGTTATATGTTTTTTCCCTTTAAGTTGGATGTAAGAATTTGCGAAGGCATGTGTGCATAACAACATCAACCCAAGTGTATAGGTAGTACTTTGGCATCTCCTTCAACTAAAAAAAATGGCATGAGTCAAACCAAGCTTTAGATTATGATGGCCAGGGTTTTCAATTTCGATTTCAAATTTCTGTATTTTTGGCACTTTTTGGACCGAATTTTTTTGAATTTTTAACATAAATTTACTGAATTTAACTAAATTCGCAAAAAAAGAGAAACCGAAAATTTCGGCCGAGATAATCACTTGCCGCGCGGCGGGGGGGGGGGGGGGGGGTCCGAAATTTGCAAGAATTTGGCGCAACAGAAATTACTATGCTTATCAACCAATGCATATTCTTCCCCTTGCAGACTGGACTAAGCGGGTCTCTAGAGACGCTCTGCGGGCAAGGTTATGGTGCAAAAATGTACCACATGATGGGGGTGTACCTACAAGCATCCATCATCACATCGGCCTTCTTCTCGGTGCTCGTCTCCCTCCTCTGGTTTTACTCAGAGCCTGTCCTCATCTTCCTCCGCCAGGACCCTGAGGTCACGAGAACAGCAACGCTGTTCCTGCGTTACTCCATCCCGGCTCAGTTTGCCTATGGCTTCATCCAGTGCACCCTCAGGTTCCTACAGACACAATCTGTGGTGACACCGCTGGTGGTGTTTGCACTCCTGCCACTGGTGCTTCATTTCGGGATCACCCATGCGTTCGTGCACTACCTGGGGTTCGGCTATGCTGGGGCTGGTATGTCAACGTCAGTGTCGCTGTGGCTCTCCTTCCTCATGCTCGCTGCCTATGTGTGCTTGTCAGAAAGGTTCAAGCACACCTGGGAGGGCTTCTCCACCGAGGCATTTCGCCATGTTCTACCTGGCCTAAAGCTGGCTATCCCCTCTGCAGTGATGGTGTGGTTAGTGCACAAATGATAATCTGATCAATTCAACAATTTATGGCATCGTATTTGATGGTGTTCACATGACATTGTTTTTGCAAACTGTAAATGACAGCTTTGAGTACTGGGCGTTCGAGGTGCTGGTTTTAGTTGCTGGGCTGATGCCGAATTCTCATATGAGTACTTCTATCATTGCAATGTGGTAAATATCTCTTCACTTTCATATCTGAGAATTCAATTCCTTATCTTTTTTGTGTGTGTCTCTATGGTAAAATTCTGAAACCAGTGCAATGACTACTTGACAGTGAAAACACTGAAGCGATATCATACATGATCACCTATGGGTTTGCTGCTGCTATCAGGTAAGTAACATTGTGACAGTTGACAACATCCATGACAGGTGACAATGCTAACTCAAAAGTGATGTTCTTTTTTAACAGCACAAGGGTGTCAAATGAGCTTGGAGCTGGTAACGTTGCGAAGGCGAAGAAGGCGCTTGCTGTGACGCTGGTGCTCTCCCTGCTGCTGGGAGTGGCATTTCTTCTGCTCCTAGGCCTTGGTCATGATCTCTGGGCAGGGCTGTTCAGCAAAAGTGATGCAGTTATAAGCGAATTCGCTTCGATGACTCCGTTGCTCATCGGGTCAGTGGTGCTGGACTCTACACAGGGAGTCTTGTCAGGTTAGTTCGTGGGTAGTCTCTCTCACTTTCTCTATCTAAAAAGGCACATAGAGATATTACCGTGTTGTTCAAATGAAGGCCATTTTGTAGTAACTTGTGTACAACAAAAACTTGCAGGGGTTTCAAGAGGCTGTGGTTGGCAGCACTTGGCAGCATGGACCAACCTGGTGGCATTCTACATTGTTGGCTTACCACTTTCTATCCTCTTTGGATTTAAGCTTGGCCTTCAGACCAAGGTACTCTTTCTGAAACTTTGCATATATGATATATGTAATGTTTATCCAATGCAAATAAGAAAAAAAAAATCAAAATTTGATGCTTTCCCCACTAATCCATCTTATCACTGCCTGCCTCAGGGGCTGTGGCTGGGTCAGATATGTGGTCTCCTGTTGCAGAACGCCGTTCTACTCTTTATCACCCTCAGGACCAAATGGGAAAGATTAGAGCTGACAATGAACGGCAAAGAAGACGGTTTTGTCTGTTGAGGCTTGAAAGATCTGAACTTACCAGTTTAGCAGCAGCATACGCCTCTCTGGTTGAATCGAACATTGAAGTGAAAAGTTTTAGAGCTTAGTAGGATGGCCTCTGCTACTACAACCGAAGTACTCCCTCCTTCCCTAAATGTTTGACACCGTTGACTTTTTTAAATATGTTTGACCGTTCGTCTTATTCAAAAAATTTTGTAAAATGTGTAAAACTATATATATACATAAAAGTATATTTAACAATAAATCAAATGATAGAAAAAGAATTAATAATTACTTAAATTTTTTGAATAAGACGAACGGTCAAACATTTTTTAAAAAGTCAACGGCGTCAAACATTTTGGGATGGAGGGAGTAGTTAGTAGCAACTTGGAGTAACTGAATAGTAATAGCAATTAGTGCTAGCATGCAACATTTTTGCGTGATCAGAATCTGGAAAATGTATCAATCTTGTGGAACACATAATTTGCTAATATGGTGCTGTATATTTATTTGACTCTATATTCACAACACACAAGGATTTTAAGCACAAAAGTGCCAAGGATCATACAGAAAAACAAAAACTTGGTGCTACCAATAGTAAATTAGACTACTGATTGATAGCCACTAAGATATATGTTTCTGTTAAACTTTTGTGTTTGGTAGATGTTCTGGTTGTTTCTTTCTTCTTTTTTGGCTGTGTGCATTTTCTGTATAGACCGGGAGTGACTCAGTTTGATTGTATCATCTTGATGTAATTAACCGAGTCTAAATAAAGCTTCCATTAACTTTTTAAAAAGTTAGACTACTGATCATACGTGCATCTCGAACTAACTTAAGTCAAATGGCACCAATTAATAATACTAATACATATGTGTTTAATCAAATTTAGTGACCTTAGGCGGGCCAAAAGTGTCCGTACGACCATCAACCCAGTGTCCGAATTCCTCTAGAGTGAGATCTGCGAATTGGGTGGTACCTAGTATGCATTTGCAATACCCATGCTCTTTCACTTGTTCAGCATTGAACTTCTCAGCAAATCGGACAGTAGACTTGAATATCTCAAAGCGATAAGCCTTCTCTGCCTCGTCTTTGTATTCGCGGTTGAACTTGTTCATCCACTCTTGGTGTCTCACCTTCAGGGCCGCCTCCTCCTCCTCAGTCAGATTCATCCTCTCATCGTCATCGCTTGTCTTCATGAGCTTAGGTACTAGACAGTTACTATGGTTAATTATGACAAAAAGGGATCGATGAACATATATGCATGTCAGGAAACCAAAGAAAGATTTTAAGCTGTCCGTACGTGGTTGTGGTTCTTCTGCAATGTTTGTGGCATACCGCTGATATCCAAGCAATGCAGGTCCTATAGACACTGCTGCCATGGTGTTGTTACGAGGCCTTAATAATAATTTGAGTTCAAGTCCCCCTGACAGCACCCTGCAAGAGTTAGTAGCAAATTTGCATGTACACATAGATAGGTAATTAATATGTAGGCTAATGGGTGATAAATACTACAAGATCTTATTGTTTTAACCTTTTCTGTTTGTAAAGCGGTAAACTGCAAACTCTTTGCTACATAGCACCGAGTAGAAAAATAGTAGGGTACATATGCCATGACAATACTCGTTAATACATGTCAAGTGGCATCGTCCATTGATGAGAAAGATGGTAAATACTCTAAATTCTGAAGCATCACTGTTTTGTTATCTAATGGAAACAAAAAAAAGAAGAAGAAGAAGAACTTCACAGAACAGTTGATATAATTTACTGAACTCAGGGATCCAACTGATGGAATTGGTGAGAAGAAATAGTCATCCTAGAATCCCGGATAAGAATCACTAGTCTTTTTGTTTGGGGTTACAATCAGATCAAAGGTTAACAGAATAGGATTCGGCAAAATCAATAATTTATGTTGAAAGAAAACCTTTGTAAATTATAGTTTATAGAAATTTGTGGTTTTTGACAGATTGAGCAAGAAAACCACCTGAGAGAGGAGCCCTGGAGCCTCGTGGTATTGGATCTTCCGACATGGTGAGCAAGGCCCTGGATCAAAATTATATATATCCCCAGGAAAAATCAGTCGCTTTACAATATTAATTTGGAGAGTGCATGTATGCATTGTGTGTAAGAAAGAGATCTAGAGAATGAAAAGAAGGCATATATATGTGTACATGAAGAAGATGACTTGCTGCTGCTCCTCTCCTCATGGCGAACAATCCCTAGGTTGGCTAGATGAATCGACCAAACAACAAATTAAGCGATCAGGCGATCTCTGGTTATCTCGATCGGCGCAGGGCGGCTAGGGCACGCGGCGCCCGACGTTGGGTGATTGGCTCCGATTGGGATTGGGTGACATAGTCACAAGGTGACATAGGGTGAATCGTGATGACGTGTATGAATTTCAGCCGCTAGATTTGTTTCGTGATGACGTGTACGAATTTCAGCCGCTAGATTTGTTTTGGAGGGCCGAGATTCACCCTATGTCACCTTGTGACATACCTACCCTATATCACTAAATCAGAATCCGATTGGATTGGCTCCCCTCCTATTATATAAATGTATTTATTATTCTTTATCTCCATCTTAAATTACAATTATTATTATTTAATTATGTATATAACATATCTTTATCTAGATACTTTAATATTATTTTCTATCTCCGTCTCAAATTATAGTTACTTTGGACTTTGTATATGGACAGACTTTTTTTTCAGATGCGAAGTTAGAAGTTATCATATTTTAGAATGGAAGAAGTATATATATCCATTACTGTTAGTATATGTCTGGAAGTGGACTTGTTAATTTATGTGTTGATATAATCACTAGTTCTAAAAAAGCACACACATACAGACACCAAGAACAGTCACCCAGCATTTTGATGATTGAAACAGATTGGTGCGTTAGCTTCAGCACCCAACTAGTCAGTCAGTCAGGCATCACCCAACTAGCACGAGGTAACTGAGATATGAAATGAAATGCACAGGTTGTTACAACGAATAGTTAGCTCGTAAGGATAACCGAAAATACAAGCGGTTCAACACATACATGATGCTGAACATAGCTCCCAGTACCTCTCACCCATGACCTAAGAATCTATCATCATAATAAGATTAAAAAGAAAAAAACGTTAAAATGAGCACACATCTATCTCATGGTTATATAACATCGGCTACATTGAGATGACTCTTCTCATCAGTGCACACAGCTCCAGTAACGTTAGCGTCAACTCTCCAGCAGCAAAGAACTCAGTCCATCGCTCCTTATATGCTTATGTACATAACACCAGTAGAGCCATCATGGCTTGAGTCAGTACCATCAGTCGCTTAAGTACCATGCACATAGAACAGACCATCACGCGATCCCATCCAAGCCCCCCAACTGTGATTTACACCGAACAGCGAAGAATTGTGCAAGTCGCAGCCGCTTTCTGGCCAGCAAAGTGCCGTGAATAGTGAACCAGCCACACTCTGTGCAAATATTTGCTCGCCCGTTTTTATACTCCAAATTCGAACCATTCTGTCTTCCCCACCTGACAAGGGTAAAGATATTCAGAGACTTCCAGATTATTGAGAAATTAAATTTGATGCTAGGAATACCACTGCCATGTGCATTATAGAAAGCTCTCTTTGCGAAATGGCCTAATGCATAATGGCAAACCAGCTAGTAATAATAGCATAGATTTCTCAAATTTCATAATGACACTATCATGATTCAGACTTGCAGTAACTGAAAGACTGTTAACATTATTTATGGAAATGCCATGGTAACATTATCAGACAGCATTTAACCACAGGATTTAGGATTCTACATACAGGGAGCCATATAGCCCCTCTGTTCTATAACAGTTACTCCCCCCGTCCCAAAATATACCAACTTTTAGCACTTCGGATTTGTCCCAAAATATAACAACTTCACCAACATTCTCTTCCCAATCAATCACAACCCTCCACCATTCATTTTTCCCACCTACCTCCACTTCTCAACCAATCACAACCCCTTCCTATTTAATTCTACCTACTTTTTTAATAACCGTGTCCAACTCTAAAAACTCTCTATATTCTAGGACGGAGGGAGTAAAATTCAAAGGGCAGGCTGACTTCTATGATGTATCATCAGTGGTGGAGCTTGTGCAATGTACTGTCGATGTTTTGGTCAATGTATTTACTACTTATATCTAAAGGTGTAATCTTGAGAGCCATTGGTCCTAACAGAAGCAGACAGGAAACCGTGATATCTGGAACCAAGGATTGACTTACCTGACATAAGAAGGGTTTCAGAGGGATCGACAACAAGTGGTAAATGAGTATGTGAATTTATATGCCCTGCATAAGACTGTATAGGCCCTTTCTGAATGAGACGGAGATCGAATAGCTTGATCTGTACAACAAGTGAAGCAATTGCATGTCAAGTTCTGAGTTTGCAGCCGAAACAAGTAAAAAAAAAAGGTGCAACTTAACTTCACAGATAACAACTACGTAACAGGTAACAGCTCATAGTGGCATAAAGGCCAAATGGAACTTCAGTTGGCATCTTACTAAACTATATGTTGAGGTGTGAGCAGACAATTCCAGCTTTGAAACAAATCAATAGAGACATTTGGAACACAGTCGCTTATACACTTGCTCATAGCAAAAAGCAGTCTAGTATGCAGTTATGCACTTACAGATCCATCCATGGAGCTCCCTAAGAAGTAGTGCTCATCTGATGAGAGAACCACCAAGCTGCATAACGATGCCAATTTTAGCACAAAGAAATTCAACAAAAATGTCAAATGTAGAGTATCAGCAAGGGGAATTTTTTTGACTACCTGCAAACTGCTGAAGACATAGAAATAGCTCTTGAAGATTTAGCGTTATCAGCCTGCAAGGCATTTTTTTTTCCCAAACAAAAATCATAAATTAAAATATTGATGAGCTCAATAAACAAGATAAGCATTCAAAATAAATTATCCCCAGAATTTTTTTCTAGTGATATGAAAACTAGGAGGAACCAAAATTAGAACTTGACCAATAACCAAAGTGGTGATATTTTATGGCTTATATTAAACACAGGTTACAATTGTTAAAGGATGAAAGATTGCTAAGCTTTGTCTTTTTTCCCATTTACATTGTCAAAGTACATACAGAATACAAATAAAGCTTGCTCTGGGAAGTGAGTAGGTGTCCCTATTGTTATCATGTATGAACCAGACACATTAAGCTCATAAAACAGAGACGTACAACATAGATGTCACATATAATACAATCAAAGAAATACCTCTGTCCTGTCCAGTGCCCCAGACACAGTACCAAATGCCCAACAATACACTGTAGACATGTATCAATGAACGATATGTACTAGACTTAGTGCGCACCTGATTTCTCCAACGATTATGCCTTCTGGGTGTCAGGGGAATAGTCCTCCTAGCAGTACCAGGTGAAGCTAGCTCGGTAGGACGATTATGTTGCTTTTGCCGTACATCAAGAGGAAATATGCTCCCATTCCTCAAGCCGCATAGCACAACATTTCCCTGAAAACATGGGAAAATCATTTGGAATTTGGAAATAGTACAAAAAATAGCAAGGCAAGTCTTGTGAACTGCGCTCAAGTGCTAACACTACGTTGGATGGGGTTACAACTTAAACTTACATAGAAACAGAAACCATTTAACAATCATAGGACTAGCAAGTACAAAACCTATAAACTTATACTACCATCTAGATCTACACTGGTAAAGGCACTATTTCAGTTTTTATAATGAGATTCAGGAGAAACATTTAGCCATGCATCAAACAAATTGAATTAAGTTATTTGAATAACGTAGCAGGAAAAGATTATATGTTGAGGGAAACTATGAATGGACCAAAGAATCAACAAAAATTTTCAATGGCTATCCTTCCAACACATACCGTACATTATCATTTGAACATGTGCAAATCTAAGTGAAAGGTAACCCATGTTTAAATCTAAATTATTACCGATTGCATAAATTGTTGGGAGAGAATGTCACTCTTGCAGTGATACATCCATGATAATGCTCTTCTTTCCAAATCAAAAAAAGCAGCACCACTGTTTGTACCTAGAAATAGATGAAGTGAAAACTTAATAATAAAGCAAGCTTAGTTCATGCAACAGAAGTTCCTTACACTACCAGTCCAAATTGCAGTGAACATAAAATAATGTGTCGAACTAATGCAACACCTGACCTTTAAAATTGGATTAATACAATTGCACGCAAGACCCAAATTTAGCAGGGTACAGTTATGGTGGGATACAATTGTACAAGTGCATTCCATAGCACGCTAACAATTATGAACAAATGTACTCAAATGCTGTCTAAATGTTTATAAAGGTACAAGATTAAATTGTTACTCCAAGTAATAGGTGCATTTTAGGTGCACCATAAATTATAGGCCCAACTCAAAACTCACCTATGACTGCCTGTGTGCCATCTGAATTACAATCAGCTGTCCAGATTGTGCGATTAAATGAAGCAACCGGTATAATATTTCCTATAATATTTCCTCCATAGGCATTCATCGAGCCCATTGCCACGTCAATAGTATCAGACAGATCCATAATATGTATAGAACCACCAGATTCTCCAGATCCTAGAGTAGCCACCATGTTTTGTGATGTCAAGTAAAGCAAGCTCACGACAAAATTGCAGATTTGCAGGTAAAAATAAATAAATGAAATGCACATTGACACAACATGTGCAAACATGGTAGGAATAATATGCATAGTATAAGCAGCAAATTAAGGATACAATGCTCGCTGGCTTGAGGAATTGGTGTTGTCAGCTCCAGGGAAACAATGCTGAAGCTTTTTTATGCAGGTTACACTTGATAAGAATTTTGAGAAAGCTGTTTCAGATGACCAGATGCTTGCAAGTGCAGAATTCACTGGTGCATTCTGCTTTACCAAGGGAGTCCAAGCAGGTTCAGGTAAAAACTCCATCTCATCCTCAATGTTTGCTATAGCAGTCCCTAGTCCATATAAACTGCCAGATGATTTCAAAACAAAAAAAGAAGTCACATGTTTAGCGAACAATGTACATCATTAAACCAAACTGATAAAGTAATTGTAAGCTTATATACACAAATAAAAGCTTTTTAACCATCAAAAGGATAAATATAAAGAAACTGTGGTGTTCTTTTAAAACATATACTTCTATTCACACATGGCATGGTTGTTAAAACATATCAAAATAAAAATATAGTAAGAGATGAAAGGTCTAGTTGAGCCTTATTGGTACAGCTTTTAAGCAGTGTGGACCTTCTTGTGTAACTCGTAGGAAGGGTGCAATTTTGTTCATATCATTATTATACTGTACTGGATGGGCGCACTTATGTTCAAGTATCTGACTTCATATCATTATGGAGGAGGCAATGGTGATGGCGGTGGTTAGAAGACCATTTGTACAGCATCAACAGCGGCCAATCATAAAAATGCTGTTGCTGGTTAGAGGCTTGTCAAAGTAATACTGTGAGGTGAAAAACTAATCACTTCAACTGCCCGAATTTCAAGACTTGAATATTTCCTGGACTTTTAGGAGTAATCGAAGTACATGATGTGTGTTTAGGGGTTGTTGGTTACTTTTATGTTTTGCTTTTTAACTTCAGTTATCTAGTTTGTTGTTGAAAGCAGATTTCACAAGCACACCGATGAGCACCAATGTATCATTGAAATAATGCAGTCTTAAGATAACATCAAACGATGGTAGATATGTGTCCTGTCTCTTACTATTAAAGGAACCTACTGTCATACTGAAACACAGAAATAAGAATGGAATTGAGAGCCTTACCGAACTATGCCATTCATGCTTCCGGTCACTAGCACCTTGGATTCTTTCAGTCCAATTGGTGTCTGAATCGTCACATACAATTCTTCGAGTGCTTTGTCAGCCACCAAGGCCGTGCCCTTGTACTTCCAAACCTGTTAACCGAACAAGATGAGCGTATTGCAGGAACAGAGACAAGCAAGCAAAGCAGCAAATGTCAAAAGCCAAAGAGATAGAAAGGAAAGGCAACCATGGGTTGAGACGCCTGGGCGTACTGGCACTGGCGCATGAAGGTGGACTTCCTCTTGTTGGAGAAGATGACCCCGCCGCCGTACATCTCCCTGGCGTGGACCAGCTCGGGCTGCCTCGCCGTCTTCCTGCATCCAGCTGCTGCAGCCTGCAGAACATCATCATCATCATCATCATCATCATCAATGCGTGGCGACAGGTAGAGCGAGCGATGGTGAGAGTTAACATACCTGGGGCGGCGGGGGTTGGGCAGGAGGCGGTAGTGCAGGGCGGCGGGTGGCGGCGCCGGGGATGGGACCTCGGATGGGGAAGTAGCGGTTCTTGTCCGGGTCGTAGTAGAAGCCAGGAAGCTCTGCGATCGCCTCGATGTCAGAGGAGACTGGAGAGAGGAGGAGGGAACAAGCTAGTATACATGAACGAACCTTTTGGGGGAGGAGGCGCCATCTCGCCGGGGAATCTCTCGAAAGGCGGCGGCGGCGGCGGCGGGGTTGTCGCCGTGAACGAGGAGGGGGAGGGATTGTACTAGTATACAGTGGCCCACTGGACCGGGCTTTCTTCGTTTGATACCGGCCCAATAAATATACTTGTATTCTTTTTTATTTCAAGGAATATATATATCCTATTATTACAATATATACTTGTCCTACTAACTGTATATATACGGCGTAATATTCTGATGATGAAGACGAAGTAGTATTTTTTGCAAACCAAAATCCACACATCCGCACATCACAAAATATTGCAACATACTCAGTTGTTAGACAGAACAATGGGATTTCAGGATATCACAAAGTAATTTCATGTACTAAATTGGAATCGTCAGGAACTTTCATGTCAGCTCATGACACCCAAACTACTAGTATGATAGTAGTGTCGGTCCAAAGCCAACCATAGCTCCCTCCATGGTACAAGTGCCAAACGCCAGATATTTGTCCAATAATTCATTGCAATAGTTCACTGCAGGCCATGACAACAGTAGCTGCCCATACACTGTGTCAGAATTCGGAGCGAGTTACAGTCAAAATGTTCATTTTGCAGTAAAAAAGAAACAACTATGACATGTTTTGACTATCCAGGCTTCTATCTGAGCTATCGAGCATCAAAACTGAAATATGAGCAATTTTGATGTGGGAATGATTTCCGGAAGGCATGTATTGTCAATACATGGCAGCAGAGAGTAAAAGTATATCCAGCTACATAACTAAGGTGTAGACAAGACAAATAATGAGAATTTGGTGACAATCTTGGCAACTTCAGCGCTGTAGCTTCCTCCTTGCAAGTGCTGGACTTTTCTTTGGTATGTAGACTTTGTAACTGACCTAACAAATGCAAGAAAGCTAATCAGTACAATGTAGAGATAAGGCATACATTTGAAGAAAAAAGAGAGGTTTCTTGCTCACCTGCACAGTTTCTCCCTCATGCATTCTAGAGAATGTCTTTTTCTCAAACTGAGAACCATCTTTGACCTCAGTCCCAGGCTGATCCTTGACCTCACCAGTTGACAAAGTAGAAACATTAGGAGCTGAAGCTTCACCTGAATTTCTTTCATCCCCTTTAGTTCCTTCAATTTTGTTAGTATCAATAGGAGGATGCCTGACTTCACTAATGTTTTCAACAGGGGGAGAATTATCACAAGCACTAGGGGTAGTGATAGATGTACCACTATCAAGCCCTTCCTTAGTGGGTATGCTCACAACTGATCTAACTCTGGGATTTCCATTCACATAATTCACCCCTGCGCTGCTTCCTAACCTTCGAATCACGCTGGCAGAGCTCCTTGGAGGGCTTCCCAACCTATGCATTATGCTGGAACTACTCCTACCATCCTGTAGCCTAATCTGTGAATTTGATCGAGTAGGTTCTAGACTGCTTCCTTTCTGCTCAGTTCGCCCGCTGGTGCTGCCGGCCTCAAATGTTCCAGGTGATTCAACGCCAACGCTCTTGCCAGCGGAGCTTTCCTGCTTTCGAGGAGTTATATGGTTCCCGAAATCCTCCAATCTAGGGGATCCAACAGAGCAGTTCACTGAAAGACCACTTCTTTGCCTCTGAAAAGGTTTGTCAACAGAACTCGCTTCAGCAATTTTCGTGTCACTGCTCTTGGGGCTATCCGTTACCACTTCCTTCCCTGTACCATTGGTTTGCGGCTTGCCTGCCATGAGCGCTGCTCCTCTAAATTTTCTGAAGTTCTCAAGAGCTTTCTGCCTGAGAATCAGCTCCAGATCCTGAGCATCAGGGCTTCCACTACCAGCAGGTAAGATGTCTTGTGTTTCATCAGCATCCTTGGTAGGAGCGCTCTCCATCTTCTCAACGGACTCATTCTTCTCATGATCAATAATTGAGTGAGATATCTCAATAGAGCTCCCCTTGCTGGTATCAGCCATGGCTTTCTCATCCCTATCCGCAATCTCAACAGATTTCACATTCTCAGCCCGATGAGCATGGCCATTGTCATAATCCTGCACAATCTTATTCCTGCTTGCATGATCCTTATTGCCACCGGACTTGCGATTCCTGCTCTTACTATTATTGCTCCTACTCCTGCTGCGACTACTGGAATTACTCTCTCCACTGGTTGAATAGCTTGTAGATCTTCTTGACCTCCTCACCCTCTTGCTGTCCCTCCCCCTCTCCTTCTTCTTCTTCCTAACATCTCTAGAGCGGCTCCTACGCGGTGGGCTCACCGACCTCTCAGAAGCGCCGCCGCCGCCACCGCTGCTGCTGCGCGTTGAGTAACTCACGGACGACGATGAAGGGCTGGGGCTGGGGCTAAGACTGTGGTGGCGTCTGCGGCCCTTGTTCTTGGTGCTCTTCTTGTCAGAGACCTTGAGCTTCTTGGAGCGCTTGCGGGGTGGGGATTCAGAGCGGGAGGAGGTGCTGCTGCAGCGGCCTCGCCGGCGCTGCTTAGGCCGCTGCTTGCCGCGGGAGGATCGGAGCTTCTTGGACTTGGCCTCATCCTAACAAGAAATTTCAAACAAAAGAAATCAGTTAATACGATCCCCGAAGAACTCGGCTGAAGAATCGGCAGCGCATCGTGATAATCCCAGCGCTTCATTTGGCACCGCGTCCGGGGTAGTCCAACCCCCAAGAAACAGATTTTCCGCAGTAATTTATCGCAAATACCCTAATCGCGGGGCGAGATTGTTGAGGAGCGCACAAACCCTACCGAAATCGACCAAAGCGGGATAGTGAGGTTACCTCGTCGGCGGCCTTCCTGGAGGATTTGCTCTTCATGGAGAGCAGAGGAGGAGAGGGAGATGGATTGATGGCTAGATAGATTACGGCGGATGATCCCTCTATTGGCTTTGCTGGTGGTGGAGGGTTCCTCCTCCAAGTCTCCAACTTTCTTCTCTCTTCCCTTTGTTTTTGTTTGGATAGGGTTTCTTCTTTTTTTTTTCTTTCCCCTTTCTTATAGGGACTACTACTACTTCTCTGAACTTCTCTCCTAACAACAGAATAATACACTGCTTCTGCTGCTGCTGCACATTGAGATGGATGATGGATCAGATCAGATGGGAACAACTTCCCTTTGTATATTCTCCTCCTTCTTTCTTTCTCCTTTTAAGTGTTCATCTCATCTCATATTCTCCTCCTCCTCCTCCGGCATCATGCCTGGCTTTACTTTGGCATTGCCCGTGTGGCGACCAACTAAAGAACACAACACGCACTAGCTAGGTTGGGGCCATGGATGGACTCATGGCTCAGATCACGCCAGAATCTAACGCGCAATATGGACCCACGCCACGACCCATCACCATCTCATATGAGTAAGAGATCCAGGTTTGGTGCAACAAGTCCTTTTCTTTCTATCCAAAACTATGTTTAAGATTGCTTTCCATAAGCGAACTGAATTAGCAAAAGCAATTTATCTTCTTTCTAATTTTCTTTTACTAGATGGAAGCAATTTCTTTTCTGGTTACATGGATGATGCACACGCAACCATATACACCACACAACTATTAACAAAACACACAAAAAAAAAAAGGCGCATCAGCACATCGGCAGTTGCATAAGAAATCTGTGATGATGTACCCCTGTACCATAAGCTGCCAGAATTTCAGTTTTCGCAGGACAAATTACAAGAACATTACTACATTTCATCACAAACCACCACTTATCTCCAAGATATAGCACTGGAATGCCACATAGTACTAGGTACTCAATTCTTGATTGGTATTTTGCTGGAAGGCCAAGTTTCAGACAACAAAACAAAGATACAGGTCTATTCCTGGATATAATATAACAAAACGACACTAAGCTATGTACATCACATAGACTGCATCTTCTAAAGATTATTAGCACTCAGATTGCTCCTATACCCTCTGTCTACTTCTCATGTCAGGCCTAGCCTGCAATCCAAAATGAACAGCAGACAACTTAAAAACACAGAATTATTAATGATTATACGCTGTCAAGCCAAGCAACAACTTGTTCGATCGATGGGCGCTGCCGAGGGTCAGTGCTGATGCACCTACACGCCGCCTCAAGGACCGAAAACAGTTGCTTCTCATGTGTTTTGCTCCATATCAGGGTGTCAAAGATCTGCTCTTCCTTCTTTTCGGACTTCATCTGAAGAACATAGGAGACCAAGTCCCTTGATCCCTTGGCTTTGGACACATCCATGGGCCGTCTGCCTGTCAGAAGTTCCAGCAAGACAACGCCGAAGCTGTAGACATCCCCTTTTGGAGTGGCGATCACCGACTGGCTGTACTCCGGCGGTATGTATCCCAATGTACCAACCAGATCAGTTGTGACATGAGTGTCATATGGCTGTATCAGTCTTGCTAGCCCAAAATCAGCCAGGTGCGCTTCGAAATTTTCGTTCAGAAGAATGTTGCTGGACTTCACATCTCGGTGGATGATGTTGGGCTCACAGTCCTTGTGCAGATAAGCCAGTCCCCTTGCGGAACCCTGTGCAATTTTGAGCCTTGACTCCCATTTCAGCATGTAGCCTCCATCTGATCTCTCATGCAGCCAGTAGTCCAGGCTATTGTTCTCCATGTATGAGTAGATTAGCAGCCTATCATTTCCATAGCGGCAGTACCCTCTCAGTGAAACAAGATTTTTGTGTTGAGCCTGCGACAGCGCTTCCACCTCAGCACGGAACTCCCTCTCCATCTGCCCGCAATCTCCAGATAGCCTCTTCACCGCCGCCTTTGTTCCATCTGGGAGGTAGGCCTTGTACACAAGGCCAAAACCGCCACATCCTATTATGTTGGCCTGATCAAAGTTGTTTGTTGACTTGATGAGATCGCTGACAGTTAGCTCCTTGGCAGAATCCTGAAAGAATAGCACTGGCTTCCAGTAATCATACGAGTCATGACAGGAGCCATTAATTTCTTCGTCGTCAATAATGCTGACCTCCCTCTTTGAGATGTTAACCAAGATAACAGCCAACAGTACTACAAGTACCAAACCGATGCAGATGGCCACTCCAAGAATTTTGTTTTTCCTGTTTCTGCCGCTCCGCTGTATGTCATTGTCGGTAGGAGTTTCCCCAGGCTGATTCTGGTCACAAGAACTTGACCTGCACAGACCAGGGTTACCTTCAAAACTTGAGTTTGAGAAGGTGAAGAACTGTCCTCCATTTGGGATCGGCCCCACCAAGTGATTGTGAGCCACACTGAACTTTGACAAGAAGGTCAGGTCCGTCAGCGACGATGGAATCGATCCACTGAGATTATTGGATGACAGATCAAGAACCTCCAAATTCTCCATCCGGGACAGCACATCAGGAATGCTCCCAGATATGGCATTGTTGCTCAAATCCAGCACATGTAGCTCTTTCAAGTTCCCAAACTCGGGCCAGATAGTCCCATTCAGACCATTATCATTCAAGAACAACGACGGTGGGAAGTTTGAGAGCTGGTTGTATTGCCGGCCACTTGTGCTCTTGTTATGCTTCACATACAACGGCATGTTAGTGAACGCCATACCCGGCGAACGTCGGGCGGTGACAAGGCTCTTGAGCTGCGTCAAACTCTTCGGTATCTCGCCGACTAAGGAATTGTTTGAAAGATCCAAGTAGGTCAGGTTATCAAGTTGACCGATCCATTCAGGGATGGTGCCAACCAATTGGTTCCAGGACAAATCAAGCACCTCCAGTCTCTTGCACTGATGCAGCCATTCCGGGACCCTTCCCCTGAGAGCACAATCACCAAGGGCCAACACCTCAAGATTGTCGAATCCAGCAATGCCGTCGTCGGGGAGATCCTCGCCGACGAAATTCTTGGTGAGGATCAGTGTGGTGAGGTTCTTGCAGGCGCGGAGCACGGTGAGCGCCCCCGAGATGTTGCGCATGGTGTTGTTGGACAGCGAGAGCACGGAGAGCGAGCCGAGGCGGCCGTACTCCTCGGGCAATTGGCCGGTGAGGCTGTTCTTGGCAATGCTGAGTGACTTGAGGTCGCCGCAATCGGCGAGGCTAAGCGGGAGAGAGCCATTCAAGTGGTTAGTGGCAAGGTCAATGGACACGAGGAACGGCATGGAGGAGAAGTTGACACGAGCAATTGGGCCGGAAAAGGAGTTGTTCCGGAGGTTGAGGTCACGGAGAGATGAGAGCGACGAGAGCGAGCGCGGCAGCAAGCCGGAGAAGCCATTGGAGTGCGCGGTGAGATGCTGCAGCGACGTGAGGTCGGCGAACACGTCGGGGAGGTGGCCGGTGAAGCGGTTCACGGACAAATCGAGAGAGGTGAGGTTTGTGAGGCCGCGGAGGCGGCTGCTGACCTGGCCGGTGAGGCCATTGGAGGCGAGGGAGAGCTTCTGCAGCGCGGCGAGGCCGAAGAGCGTGGGCGGTAGGGCGCCATGGAAGGAATTGGATGCGAGGTAGAGCTCCTGGAGCGTGGCGGCGCAGGGCGGCGGCGACGGGGACGGCGAGAGCGTCCCGGCGAGGAGGTTGGCGGAGAGGTCGAGCACCCGCAGCGCCGGCGCGCCGGCGCAGAGGTCGGGGGCGAGCGCGCCGGACAGCGAGTTGTTGCTGGCGTTGAACGCGGACAGGTGCGGCAGCGCGGCGAGGTCGAGGAGCGTGTCGTTGAGCAGGTTGGAGGAGAGGTTGGCGGTGCGGAGGGAGACGGCGGCGAGGAGGGCGGAGATGCCGCCGGTGAGCGCGTTGTGGCTGAGGTCGAGGTCCTGGAGGCGCGCGAGGGCGGCGAGGGAGGGCGGGATGGGCCCCTCGAGACCTCGCCCGGGGAGGCGCAGCGCCGTGACTCGGGCGGCGGCGTCGCAGGCGACGCCGTCCCAGGCGCAGCAGGCGTCACCCGACCACGCGGCGCGGAGTCCGGCGCCGCCCCCACCCGCAGAGAGATTCCCCGCAAATGCCCGCAGCGCGAGGAGGTCTTCCGGGTGGCATGGCGCCGCCGCAGCGGGCGGGAATGGCAGCAAAGCGAAGAGCGCGACGAGGGAGAGGAAGAGACAGCGTAGGGGCGCGCGTCTCGCCATGGACTTGGCCTCACGGGCAGAGGCGGGGTGTAGGGAGAGGGGGAGAAGGGAAGGCGGCGGCGGCGGCACCACCATTGCTGGCGGGGCCCGTTTGGTCCAGCTTTCTTGTCTGCGTGTGTGCGCGCGACGATGGCAGAGCAGCAGCAATGATGTATACTAGTAGGGATGTGGAGGTGGAGATGGAGATGGCGCTAGAATCCAAGCTCGATAGCTGCAAAGTCCACTCTACTCATCAGAGGAGTAGAGTACACAGCTTGGAGACAAGCGAAGAAGAAACGGAGGAGAAGATGAATTTGTTTGCGTTCCGTATCTCCATGCTCCTCTCCTCCTCGTGAACGGGACTCCTTTGCATTTAAAGCGCTAATAACGTTCGGTACAGCCACTAATTTGGTGGATTTTTCTATTCCAACTCTGCTACTAGTACTATTATTATTTGTTGATTTATTACAGTACTACAGTATACTATACAGAGTTAAAAATTGCCTTTTATGAATAATTCTATATACTACCTGATGAGTATAGTTGGCTTTTAAGGACCCAATATTTGGCCTCCCACAGGTCATACTCAATAGCTACCACTTTTATCATCCATATACGACTATGGTCGGAAAAAGGAAGAAAAAAAAAAGAAGAAAGGCACTTTTGTATCGACCAATTAACAAATTATTTTCTATGGTGGCCAAAATTCTAGTTAAACTTTTATATAGACCAACTTTGTTTCGATCTAAATATGTCATGATAGAAGACGTATGTATATCTGCTGGTTTAGGTCAAAAGTAACGGAAGTCATAATATAGCACTAGCAATATTGTCAGCATTCAATTCGTAGCACTAAAGGAGCATAGACTAGCGCGAATACGTGGCTCCTCACATGGTCCATGCAAAATGTACTATTGTAACCATGGATACAACACAAAATTAGAAACTTTTCATTTGGCCTATGTTGTTATATAGTTGTGTTTAGTTCCTTCCAAAGTTAGAAGTTTAGGTTGAAATTGGTACGATGTGACTGAAAAATTGTGTGTATATGACAGGTTGATGTGATGGAAAAAGTTAGAAGTTTAATAGCCATAGTAGTTTCTTATTACTACTATATAAGTTACAATACCCTTTTCTACATATGACTTCTTTTTATCCATAGAGTTAAAAGTTAGAAATTGCCTTAAATATAGTCGATCCCACCTCCCTCTCGCTTTCAATCGGCGTGACAAATACTTACCCATATAAAACTAGCAGAATTTTCACTTATAGTAGACAATATTTGTTGTTTTTTTAACCCATTGCTTTTGAACCACTAAGAGAGTGAAATTAGGGTCTGTTTGGTAGAAGAGAGTGAGAGTATAAAAAGTCACATTTTAAAATTACTTCGAGTTGTTTTTTAGTCGTATGCGAGAAAAATCTAAATGTAAAACACCAAGGACTAATTGGATTCATATGCAAGTCACTAAACTAGATACATTAGTATTACAATAACTTGTACATTATACTTGTAGTATTTCGTAGGGAATAAAATAAATGTTCAATCAAAAAGTCGAATAACTTTTTTCTAGTGGAAAGCTATGATATGAGAGCTGGGAATAGTAGGTTCGTGGTTGATGTGGAGTGGCAGTGAGACTCTGATGAGAAAGTGTGGTGGTACGTGCAGGTTCAGTAGGACTATAAAAGTGTAGGGTAGACTGTGTTTAGATGGTGGAAAAGTTGAGAAGTTGAGAGAAAGTTAGTAGTTTAGAGAGAAAATTGATAGTTTATGTGTATACTATAAAAGTTTTTTATGTGATAAAAAGTTGGAAATTTGGGAGGAACTAAACACAGCCGTAGCGTAGTGCAGTGGTGGCAAAGGGGAGGGGGGTTGGGTAAGGATGAAGGGATACGTGCGTGCACTTGGAGTGTAGGAGTGCGTGTGCAGCAGCCCAAGATGTTATTTCGGCACCACGCGCTGACCAAAATTCACTCATTCAGTGGCGTGGCCCTTTATTATTTTCTCTCTGTTGTGGCCACCCGGATTCTCTGTGCACCACCTTGCAGTTGCTTGCACATATGTGTAAATTTCTACTGCTAGTAGGATAATTGAAACTATTTTGAAGGATTTTAATCCTAAGGGAACATTTCTTATAGTATATGTCCCTTTGAAACAAACAAATAAGGGTCCTTTTGAATTGTAGAAATGAAAAAAAAAAGAATGAATAGAAAAAACATAAGATTCTTATAGAAATGTAAGTGTAAAACAGAGGATTGAAAAACATAGGAATGATCATTTGGTTGGACCGCATGAAAAACGCAGGAATCGGATGAGAAAGATAGACTTAAAAAAAATTTCAAGAGGTTCAAGGTCTTGCTAAGTTTCCTCCAAAATTCACGTGAAATAAGTCATTTCATAGGATTTGAAAAGCTTCAATCCCCTTTAAATCAAAGGGCCAATTAGAAAAATTCCTGATAGGTTTTAAATCCTATAAAATTCCTACATAAATCAATCCTTTGATTCAAATGGGCCCTAAGCCACCTGAATTCCTACGAATTGCTTCAGTTCACATGAATTTTGGAGGATTTCATACATGAGGTCCAACCTCGACCTCATGGTGATCTTGTTATGTCTCTCCCCAAACTCCTCTTCTCTTTTCCATTGAAACATCAAGACAATGTATTTAAACAATTCCTGTGTTGTACGGATCCTATAGATTCAATAAAGCACGACATTTTAATTCTATATATATTTTTTCTTATGTTTGTATAATCTTGTGTATTGTAAAGTAACTCTTAGTTTGGAATATGGAATTGTATCCTTATTCTTTGCGGGAACTTGTGTGACAATTCTTTCACCTTGAAAGATACTACCAAGGGCCGAAGCTTAGAGGGGTTAATCTTTTGTTGGTATTGTATAGTTTGATGGGTCAGATACTCGGTTTCAAAGTTTATAGCGCTAGGATAGACTTCCCATCAAAATTTAGGGGTATTCAAACCGATTATTGTGATAATGCTCAATTGTTAATTGAATCTTATTGAGTTGTATTGAATATTGTCAATTCAAATATACACATCACGTACATCGAATCAATAATTAACGACGAGAATCGAGCAGTTGTGTGAAGGCTGAAGCTTAGCGCTGGTAGAGAATTCCAAGCAGAAGCAAGGAGTATAGTCAGAGAGGATCCGAGAGAGAGATGTGTGTGGTCATGTTTTTCATGAACTGGTCACCCTCTTCCACGTGAGTAGGACGACTGATGGATGGGAGTCTCGAAGCTTTTTTTAGTTTATGTTTTTCGATGCTATAGCTTCCATTTATTTACTGCTTGCTACCAGCCGTGCCGTCGAAGCTCTGCTCTCCCCATCATCCACTAAAATAATTCTAGCACTATTACAGTCCTGTAATTCTTTTCTTTAACTTTTAATTCCTGGACAAAATTACAACTGTACCTTACTAAAAAAAAAGAAGCAAATATTCCTCCTAGAGCCCTAGTAGTAGTAGCAGCTAGTATATCTTGGGCCACATATTGGATTACATATTGGATTGGATCAACAAATTGAGCCCAAGACAATGTTATCGTACTATATTTAGTACTGACGAGCAGCGGCAAATTAACCTTCGGCCCTGTTTATATCCCACCCAAAATTTTTCACCGAATCACACGAACGTTTGAACACCTATATGAAGTATTAAATATAAACTAAAAAATAATTAATTACATATATTGCGATTAATTTGTGAGACGAATCTTTTAAGCCTAATTGCTCTATGATTTGACAATGTACTGCTATAGTAAACATTTACTAATGACGGATTACGTAGGCTTAATAAATTCGTCTCGCGATTTACTGACGGATTCTGTAATTAGTTTTTTTATTAGTGCCCGAACACCTCATGCGACACCCTATATAATACCCGATGTGACACGCCAAAACTTTACACCCATAATCTAAACACACCCTTCATGTAGGACTTGAGATATGAGTACGGAGTATATATATATATGTGTGTTGGGTTGATTTCTGCCCAACAAGCTAGAGATCATATGCTTCCCATCCCAAAATATAAAGGATTTTGGTTGGATGTGACAGGGCCGATCCAGTTTCATAGTTATAGGATATGTCACATACACCCAAATCCTTTATATTTTGATGAGAGAATCCCTTATATGCCACTAGAATTTGACCAGTTCCCTTGTATGCCACTCAAAATTGGCTTCTCCCTTATATGCCACTAGTTCAAGTTTTTCCACCCTTTTATGCCACTCCCACCACTATAGTGTTAGTTGACTGTTAGTCAAAGGTTAGTTTTTTTTAAATGACCAATATGCCCTCTCAACTAAAAAATATGTAAACTTCAAAAAAACCATAACTAATTTATTTTAAATCTTTTTTGAGTGAACAAAATTTTGTCAGAACCAGTGAAAAATGCTCTTTATATTAAAAATATTGTTGGAAAACTGCATGTTTCATGCTTACATTGAAAATTTATTTGTAATGGTAATGGCTAAAATTGCATGTGATGCAGAAAAAAAATCAATTTTCATATGTTGTATCCAGTAGCTATATTAGTACTAAAATACCTATTATTAGTTGTACACTAATTCTATAGGGCAAATGCGTCTTTTTACAATCAAGTTAACGGTCAACTGACGGTGGACCGGCGGCAATGGCATAAAAGGGAGGAGAAACTTGAACCGGTGGCATAAAAGGGAGAAGCCAATTTGAAGTGACATATAAGGGATATAAGGGAGCCGGTTAATTTAGAGAGGCATATAAGGGATTCTCTCTATTTTGATACGAAGGGAGTATAATCCAAAGCGAGATCAAAGATTGACTGAATTACCTCTACCCGCAACGGCTGGATCCGCCATTGTCAGCCCCGGGACGACCGGATTCGCACCACCGCCGCCGCCGCCATCAGGGTGCGGATGGGAGCTAGCTAGGCTTTTGGATTTTTAAATTTTGAGACTTTTTTCCGGTTTTTTATTTTTACTTGCGGATGACATAAGTTCGCATGCGGGTGACGCATGTGGGTGCGTCACCCACATGAAGAAAAAAATCGTTATTTTTGCAGACATTTTTGGACAGACGGAGGCTCAACCATATGGAAAAATAGGTTTTCGCCACATGAAAAAAATGGTTTTAGTGGCGTGTGTGTACGTCTTGATGCTGTATTAATTTTAATCGGCGGCAATTAAAAATGTATGTCGAAATTTAGTTGGATATACTCGTAGCTAGTAAGTAACCTCAATTTTCATCACACCCTTGAGATCACAGGGCATATAGAGAATTGCCTATGGCCATCTTCCAAATTAATTAATTAATTGATGTTTGTAGGTAGAAGTGACGAAGTGCATATATACCTTTGAGATATGTATTTTTTTTTAGATAATGATCTTTGACATATGTATACATAGAAGATATACAGTATGGCTCTAAACGATTGATGTGCTAGCTTGTAGCTATTGATGATGAAATGCATGTTGTCAGCACAAGCAAAGATACAAAACAAGCCTGACTGCATACATTTGACTACATCTGATAGAAAGCAATGTGCCCACGCAAAAAAATATATATCGCCGATTGATGAGAGGCAGCCGGTATATATATGCTACAAATTAAGCTCTGATCGATCGGTGCCTGCATCTGCATGCATGGTAACTAGCAGGAGGAAGAGGATAATATGTCTTGGGGGTGCTTGTTGCTGCTGCTGCTGATGATGATTGTCTCGGCATCATCATCTGCTACAATGATCGTCATCTCTCCCTCTAATTCTTCTTCAGGTAAATCAAATGCAAAGCATATATAGGGTACTGAATTGCATATATTCAGAAGCCAGCTAGCTAGCTAGAACTCGATCGATCGATCTGATATATATATATATATATATATATATATATATATATATATATATATATATATATATATGTTCAATTCATATCGCAGCAGCAGCAGCAGCAGGAAGAGGAAGAAGAATGGAGGAGTATGGTAGTGGTGGGTGCAGTGTGAAGAGCAAGACGTGGAATGAGAGGAAGCTGTGCACCAAGCGTGGAACCTGCCGCGCCGAAGGTTTCGACTACGGCTCCTGCTACCCCAATCGACCACGACCTTCTTTCATCGGCAGATTCTTTCACGTCTGCTACTGCAGCATGAACTACTGCAAAAACAATATCATCCCATCATCCTAATAACTAGCTAATTACTTAATAATTACTGTATGTTTGTACGTATCACCTACCGATCGATCGACCCCTACAACTATATATACTGATCGATTTTCGATTATATATGAAATAAATTTTTACTACTCCAATCAACGGCTGCCCCCTCTCGCTAATTGCATCGTGTAGTTACTGTATGTGTATCACCATTATATTGGTGCTTCGTGTTTAGTAATGCACTTCTAAATCCAGTGTTTTAATTGTAATTTACTCTTAATTATTAAATTATATATATTAATAATCAAGCTAATGGTAACATGTCAGTCTTTTAAACACAGTTTTTCTAGGAATTGGGTTACTTATATATGATGGGCCACCTAGCTACTTGTGGGCTTGTGGGCTTGTCCAGTTAGTGGCCTCTTAGCATTACTCCCTAGTAGAAAATTATAGAGCCATCACCCGTAGCTAGGTTTGTGTTAGTAATAAAACCGTAGAAAATTGTAGTATTTATAGTTCATTCTTAGGATAAACTCGAAATGTGATTTTTCATTTAGTCATTCTAAGTATTCAAAAGATATCGACGCTCAAGTTCTAAAATTAGTCGACTTATTAATTATGCTTGTTCAAATGTATTTTTCTCCAAAGGGATCGAGCACAATACACCTACGATATGCTGGTTATGTCGTAAACAATATAATTGCGCTATAACACACTTGCTTTCTTAATATATACTATCCGTTTTTACACTCTTATAAGTATGACTTGTAAGTCGTACAGAGGTTATCTGCAAATGGGAAAACCCAAGAAAATAATTAGGTACAACCAGGCCCATCAGGGGTGGCCACTTCACTTGAGCAAACCCATCACAAAGTTTGCCCGGGCCTAATTAATTGCTCTATACATACACAAGTTTTTTTTTTTACATATTAAAGAATGAAGAGAGTAAGATTACGTACAATATAATTAGCCTGAATGAGGGTGGGAGGATTGTTGGAGATAAGATGGAATGAAAATTACACATACGAGCGATGATAAATAAGCCAAGTGATACTCCAAAATTCCTTATATTTGTCAAGTGGGAACCTCAAAATCCCCTTGTAATTGTGGACGATGGTCGATGGAGCATATGCTGGTATTGTACTGTCTAGCCGACTAGATATATATCATAGCAAATTTGGTGAGGGCCGATTATATGAAGGATCAAACTGAGACTTCTCTGATGATTATGTGAACACGAAGACAGTCGTTTAGCAGGGTTTGAAATTCGGGCTCAAAATTTCGGAATGCAGGAATTTAGCAAAACTTATTTAAATTCAGTCAAAATTTCTTTACATATTCAAGTAATTTCGTTCCATAATACTCCAAAATTTCAATCACGCCAATAGATTTTGTGTATACTGAAATTTTAAACCTGTCATTTGGTAGTAGTCCTGTCCACAAATAAAGGGTTTTGGAGGTACTTTTAGAAGATTAAGGATTAAGGGGAAAAAAGACTATAGTGCTAATAGTTGGAAGTTAAAGGGTAGTTGAGATTAGACGGTAAAAAATTGAACGAGTGATGATTGAAGTGAAAAGTAACTAGTGTTAGGTTTATTTACATACCAATAATTGACGATGGAAGCTGCTCCTAGAATAAAGGTTGGGAATAGTATTCACTTATCTTTTAGATTATGTAGGCCTAATATATAAGATCTAAGATTATGTAGACCTAAAATCTAAAGTTATATATGGATCGGATTGAGCATATGGTCAAGTAGACCCATTATAAGGTCTTGTTTACTTCGTAAAAAGAAAATTTTTGGGTGTCACATCGGATGTTTGACCGGTTGACGGAAGGAATTTTCAGACACGAATGAAAGAACTAATTTCATAACTCGTCTGGAAACCGCAAGACGAATTTATTAAGCCTCATTAATCCATCATTAGCACATGTTAGTTACTGTAATACTTATGACTAATCATAGACTAATTAGGCTCAAAAGATTCGTTTCGCGATTTCCATGCAAACTGTGCAATTAGTTTTTTATTTCATCTATATTTAATATTCTATGCATGTGTAAAAAAAATTCGATGTGATGTTTTTACGAAAAAAATTTTAGTAACTAAATAAGGCCTAAGCTGGGTGGCCTATGTATGGTGAGGTCTTGACTAGTACAAATGCAAGAAAATTTATGGTGGCCTTATATTTATATTTGTAGAGATGAGTCATCAAACTTTTTATAATATCTGTGGACAGAGGGTACTACAAGAAAATTTCATATGCAAGGACAATCACAAGCTAGCTAGAAACCTGAATCGTGCAGGCCGGGTCATTTGTCAATCAGATCACCCACTGCTGAAAATGTCCGTTGCAATTAACACAAATTTTCATGTCTATCAACCCATCCGCCACACCACAGCAACAAGTGATTGCGACATGTGAGAAATTTCGAAGGAGATTGATTGGATTAAATCACAGGGATTTAATTTTAGACGAATTTTAATGTGAGATCTAATTAACTAGCCTCTTATAAAAGTTGTTATATGTCTATTTCGTTTTTCTAATTCATACATTTTTCATGCGTTCTGTTATTTCTATAGCCATTTTGCTCTTGTACTCTTAGGAGTAGTCAGATGGTTTAAACGTTCGCGCGTGAAAATTGGATTTTAGGAGGCACTTGTTGGGTGCATGCGGGCCACCAATCTGTATGCGGAAATTGGTTTTGACCGCAAGGAAAAAAATATTTTCTATAGTAGTGTCCTAGGATTTAACTACTAGTCATACTTGCTGCAAGTTAAAAGAGCTGCTACTTTATTTCCGACAGTCCTGAGTGCAAGTTTACCTTCATAGAGATATTTAACTCTCTGTCACTCTCAGATATAGCAATTAACAATTTACCATGCATGTATTGACCCATCATTGACCCATGAGTGTCAAATAGTTAAACGGGATGTGGATGATGTTTTTGACGTGTGGGCTTGATGGTTGTAGCATGGGATGAACGGATGGCGAAACCACGGATAGAAATTTGTGTGACAAAGTGAAATATCGATATATTATTTAAGTAGATAAGCCTAGCGGAAATGAGTGAACTATAGGAATATACTCATGGTATTGATATGTGATGAAAATGCATGGAGTTGAATAATATTGCCCCCTTCATAAAAATGCAAGATATGTTTCTTTTATCATCAAAAATAAAGAGAAATTAATATCATCAAGAATAGAGAGAAATTAACTCCTCTATGTAACAAAACCAAAGAACTATATGCATACATATAATCAATGAGTAATGAGTATCAATATTGTTGTTTGGGTTCGGATCAACAATTAATTTATTACATGGAAAGTACTACAAATATGATCACTTCTTAAAAAATATGGAAAAAATATGCTTAATATTTTTGATAGAGGAAGTAATAAATAGGCAATAATAAATGGAAGCAAAGCAGACAATGAGGGAAAGATGTGACAGAAAAAATATAAAGCAAGCAGAGCGGACTGGAAGGGAAAAAAACAACCGATGTGGCATGGCTGAATTATAGCGATCCTACGCAAGTTCAATACTCCAATGGACACTACTACAGAAAAGGGTTTTTACTGCCAGTTAGGAAACCCCTTTCGGTGCTGGTTTTTCCAAGGAAAAAAATAACCTATATCGAGCCGAGCAATCCCTCCTCCCACATCCGCAAGAAAATTTTTTTGGCAACATTCATCTCACAAAATAAATCACTGAATCACATTTGAATCACTGAATCAAACATTTAAATCAAGCAACATTCATCTCACAAAAAAATTTGGCAACATTCATCTCACATCAAACATTTTGAATCAGGCAGCCACAAGTGAACGAGATGGTTGCGGGTGCTCACCGTCGCCCGTGGGGAGCCCGCCGCCGTCGTTGCCGCAAGCGAAGGAGATGGTTGCTGCTGCTGGATCAGGCGGAGGGGAGGGCTCCACCGCCGCCGTTGCCTCCCCTCCCGCCGGATCTGGCGGAGGGGAGGTCGCCGCCGCCGACGCCCGTGAGCTACGCCACTTGCTGCCGCCTCCCCTCCTGCCGCCGCCGCCTCCCCGCCGCCAGCTCCTCGCCATCGCCTCCCCGCCACCATCTCCTTGTCGCTGCCTCCCCTCCCGCCGGATCTGGTGGAGGGGAGGGCATGGTCACCGCTGCCGCACGCCTCTGCCAGCCAACCGCCGGCAGCGTGCAGGAGAGAGAAGAGAGCGAGACGAGAGGGAAGAGAGCGAAACGAGAGAGAGAGAAGAGGGAGCGAGACGAATAGACGATGAGAGCGAGACGATCGAACCTTATCCGATGCTCGTCTCGTCGTGGTGGGGCCGACCGGTCGGCTCATCCGATGCCGACTCGGCTCGATTTACATAGGTGTCGGTTTTTATAAAAAGACCGGCACCTATAATATATTATAGGTGTCGGTTTTTAATTAACCGACACCTATAATATATTAAAGGTGCTCGTTTTTCACAAAATAAAATAGGTGCCGGTTTTTATTTAGAACCGACACCATTAGCTACTAAAAGGTGAGTTTTTTGCGATTTCAATACGTGAAGGTGGGAAAAGGTCTATAGGTGCCGGTTTTAGCACTACCAGCACCTATAGTGGCGACACCTACTTGATGTTTTGTAGTAGTGGGATGTTGCTACTAACTATTCCCTCCGTCGCATAATATAGAAAGGATTTTGGATGGATATGACATATATTTCCATATTCGTAGTATTAAGATATGTCATGTCTCCAAAATTCCTTATATTTTGAGACAAAGGGAGTATATGTCTATGTTAGAGTCAACATATATAATAAATTAGTTATAAAATTGTCTTCTTTTTCTTCTCTGTTTTTCTCTCACTTATACATTTAATGTATTTATCTTAGAACATACTCCCTCCGTCAAAAAAACGCAACCTTGGATCCCCTCCTAAAACAACATCTTATCAAGAGAACGTGAACCCCGTTGCATTACATGAATGCACTAATTAATCATCAGTTGATAATTTCCCTAACTGTGGCGTTTATCTCGTTTTTGGGAATTTTGTTTTTGGGCTATCTCCCTAGCGACTAAACCTCGTCTTTCATGTGTTGGTTCTTCGGTTAATCTCCTAGTGGCTCTATCAGTTTCGCGGTCGTCGATCGGAGTATTGCAAGTTGCGGCGGGTGCCAAGACGAAGCTGCATTCTCCAAAATATTCCGATCTGTCGCCATGCCTGCATATATGAGTGACTAGTATATGCATGTTGATCGATCCTCCGGCGGCAACTGCAGGCTGCAGCTATATATAATATATACTCTCCTAAATGTTTAAGCATGCCATTCCCGTGCGTGTATATATATACGAATACGACCATCATATATCGATGCACAAATTACTAAACGAAGATTGTATTTAAGCATGGCGGCGTGGATGAAGGTGCAGAGCTCCGGCGGCCGGCAGCTGCTGTCCGTCGTCTACCTCGTGGCCGCCGTTGTGATCATCCTGCCGGCCACCAGCAGCCGGTGGCGGCCGCAATGTCTGTGGCGCGAGGACCGTGGCGTTGCCACCCACCTGCACTTGTTCATGCACGACGTCCTGACCGGCCCGGACGCGACGGCGGTGGACGTGGTGAACGGCACGGGGCGTGCCTTCGACGTCGCCGGCGGGCTGCGGTTCGGGCAGGTGGTGGTGATGGACGACGTGCTGACGGAGGGGCCCAGCCGGTCGTCGCCGCGCGTGGGGCGGACGCAGGGCTTCTACGTCTTCTCCGACATGAACGTGCCGGCGCTGCTCTTCTGCATGAACGTGGTGCTCACGGCGGGGCCGTACGCCGGCAGCACCGTCACCATCCTCGGCCGCGACCACATCACCCAGCCGCTGCGGGAGCTCTCCGTCGTCGGCGGCACGGGGGCCTTCCGCATGGCCACCGGCTACGTGCTGTGGAGGACGGCCAGCTGGCAGTTCCGCGCCGACGCTGTCCTGGAGCTCGACGTCTTCGTCCACACGCGCCCGGAGTACTTGCAGTCGCCGCCGCCGCCGCCGCACCACCGCCCTCCTCCTCCCACCGTCGTCGTTACATGAGAGCCGGCCTCATCGATGGATGCATGCATCACATGAACCTTAATTAGCTTTCTGTAATTCAATAATAATAAAACTAGCCACGTACGGTGAATTAATTAAGTGAGATATATATGTATGTGGGAGCACAAGGTGCGGACTGTGGAGTCATGACTCATGACTACCCATCATATCCGTGAACTATGAATAATGCTCTATACATGAGAATACAATTTTCAATCTTTTCTATACATTGCACTTTCAATAGAAATTAATTGACATAAGAAAAAGCTTATTATTGGGCACCATCTCCAAATGTATATTAGCGAGCAAGCTAGAAGAAGAAAAGAAAGAAATGAAGATGCATAGAAGAAAAAAAAAAACGGCTTGATTCCAGCCGATGCGCATCGAGTACCTCGATCCCCTTCACCACGATCAAAGAACACATAAACATCAACAACATCTAAAAACATATCAATACATCTCTTTCTCTACTATTATAAAAATTAAAGATGTTTTTGTCTAATTATTTGCTACGTCACTCAGAGTCCGTATCAATTTCGTTCATGGCTTTCCATCGGTCCAGATCGTTTTTTTGTCATCCGTCTTCGTTTCCGCTCCTAATCAGTGCGCCGTCCCCGCATCAACTCATGTTTCCCGGACTCTACATACACGCACATTGGCACATCTCCTGGACGGACCGAGGAAACAGAAAAAAAGGGATAAGTAGAGGCTTAATATACATGCAGAATTTTAAGACAGGCTTATGTTATGTATTAGGATAAACTATTAATCCGTGGGTAAAACTTTTATATTTTCTCTTGTTGACTTAAAAGCTATTGCTTGAAAATAAACTATGATAAAAAATCAAAATTAACTCTAAAATTAAATTTGAAATCAACTCTATTTTTTTATGGAAGGGGTTGGATCATGAAAATTAAACCGTGATCATAGTGAATATAAACCTGAAGAACACAACGCTAGCTAACACATCAAGAACATCCCCTTCACCCGGCCCGCCGACGGTACACACGGCGCCGACGTCCTACTCCACCCTAGACACCCTTACTGCCGATGCCATATGGAGGAGGAGAGGAGGGCCCTCCCGCTGCAGCCGGCGCCGCCTCCCCTCCCACCGGATCTAGTGGAGGAGAGGTGTGGCCACCGCCGTTGTCATCGCCTTAGGCCGCTGACTTCCCTCCTGCCCATAGTACAATAACCTGGTCTATGCTAGCGGTTAGGCCCGAAAAAAACCAAAACCAGCCTCCTCAGCGGTTCAGTTTCCTTCAAAGACCGTTCAAGTTATTGAACTAGAGAAAACTGGCTGGACCGCACAGTTTTGCATGAAAATCGGTGAACTGAGAAGAACTGAGCCATCCAAGTCTTGCAATATAGGGAAGAGATAGACCTTACCAAGGCACATATGCTCGAGTCAATGATTTTTTTGCCCATATTTAATCAAAATTAGTGCGTAAAATAGGTAGGATCCTCCCATCTTTCCGCCTCCCCTCCCGCCGGATCTGGCGGAGGGGAGGGCACGACCACCGCCGCTGCCGCTAAAACCGACACCTATAATATATTAAAGCTGTTTTTTTTAAAATAAATATTTTTTTTAGAACCGGCACCTATAGTTACTTAGAGGTACCGGTTTTATATGTTTTCAACCAGCGGAGGAGAGAAGCACTATAGATATTGGTTTTAGCTGTTCCGGTATTTAAAGTGCCGAGCTCAATGTGCATTTTTTTTTGCAGTAGTGACACCTTTGAGTCTAGCTAGAACCAAGCAATTAGGTACGACGTTAACAAATGGAACAAAGGTTAGTAGTAACTAGTAACTAATTAAGCACGCGCATACAAACAAGCTAGCTTACCTACTAACTAAATAACATTATCATATATGCATGTACTGATCTTCAATTCGAACGTATATGTTTCTCCAAAAAAATTTGAACGTATATAATTCTCTTGGACGACCAAATTAAAAATATGTAAGTAACTATAATGTGGACACATGTGGTCATCGATAACGATTGCTCCGGACGTATATACGTTATCGTCCAATAATCAAATTAACCAGGCCGGCCATTGCGCGAATCTATGACGAACAGACTTTTATTTGGATCGAAAACGATCGATGATCATTTCTTTTTTTTAAAAAAAAGAAGTTAAATAAGAAGTTGAAAAACAATCGAACTGAATAAATATGAGATTATTATTAATTAGTTACTTCCATGGTTGCTAGCTGCCGCATATATCTTACCCACTCTAAGTGGTCGGCCTAGGAATTTTTTAAAGTCCTAAATAAAAAAAAACGTTAAAGGTGATTACAATATCAACGGACTATAGGTTATTTAGCATGTATTTGGTTCAAGGGATAGAATGGTTGGGTTGGGTTGATCCCATTTTTAAGATGTTTGTTTTGGGAATTGGTAGATGAGATATCCCTTAAAGAGAGAATATTCCTTTACGATCCAGGTTGATATGGTTTCTCAAAAACCAACGGATAAATCTAACCCACTTTTCTGTCTCTTTGACATGCGGACAATCCCAAAACAAGGATGAGTACAACTCATCCCACCACATCGCAAACCAAACACATGCGTTGCGTTCTTTTCCCCTCTTTCCCAACTCACTTACCTCGTTTTCCGCGCGCACGCTTTTCAAACTACTAAACGGTGCATTTTTTTTTACAAGTTTTCTATATGAAAGTTGCTTTTAAAAAATCATATTGATCCCTTTTAAAAGTTTTTTTAGGCTAATAGTAGTACTTAATTAATCTCACTATAATCGCTTGCTTCATTTTCCGTGTCAGGAGGCAAGGTTCCCAACCTTGCCTCCCGAACTAAGCCAATTTGTTGCGGACATCTAGCAAGCCAGAGCCTTGTGTCTGCGTATGCATCTTGCTAAAATTAAAGCCATGCCATTTATACGAGAATTAAATATGAAAATAAATACAGTATCATATATTGTATGTAAAAACGTGAAAAATAATTATACTATTATTTTGAAATTTATTCACGATACATCTACCATTTATGCATGCATCCAATCCTGATATTCAAAAAGACATTGATGCCCCAGTTTTAGAAGTTAACTTGATATTGCAAATATATTCGAAATAAGCCATTTTTGTGGTGAGATATATATAATATAGGGAGTAAAAATAAGATATTGTTTTTTCAATACGCCAGGTGGATCAAACAAAAAATTAGGCTAACACAGTTGATTTATCAATAAATTTAACATTGTTGCAATGCAATCAGTGTTCTACGGGAGAAACCAAAGGAAAGTATAATGAGGTCATCCGTGGGCCTGCATTACGCTCGTGAAGGCCCAGTTTAATTGAGTGGGACCCACAATAATTCCGGCCCAAATAATTTGATTGTAAAGCTAGCCCAGCTGGCAGGGGCGCAGGGCTAATTAGATGGCGGTGTAGCAACTGGTAGTACAATAGTATTTGTACTGCAGCTGGATGTACTTTTCTCATAGTGCCGGACCTGTTTATGATTTATTTTAGAGAAAATTAGATCTTAGACTACCTCTATTTTTTTGTAGAGAAGGATATTTTTTTACTTTATATTTTTTAAGAAGAGTAATTTTTTCTTACTTTACATCCAACTGGATATATGTAGCCCTTTTAAATTTGGAACATAGCCTATCAAACAGAAAACTTAGCTCTCAAATAACTCAATTTGAAATTCGCTTATATGGAGTTATCTCTCAAATTACCTAATTTAAAATTCGCTCCTATAAAGATTTGAACTCAAGAGCTTAGGGTGCTACTCAGATCATTTCAACCACTTCATGCCCTTTCACATTTTGGACCGGGTGTCTTTACATCACGTTTCAATTTGGGCCCTCTTCTTTTCCCTTTCTCCTCAGTGCTACTAGCAGGAATACTTGTGTTGTGTGCCCTTTTTCTGCCGGAAACCGTAAACACTAGCTAGTCGATCGATGATTGGAAATGCAAGCATCCTTTTGAATTCTTTGGTAGCTTTTACGAGTAGAATTGCTTGATCGATAATGTGGAGGGACCTGGGAGGAGAGATGAATTCTGCGCTCATGCTCAACCTCCGTTACTGCGTTACATATTACCCGAGCTTCTCCTTCATGTGCGTTGCTCCTTTTCGAGCTACTGTACCATGAGAGCTTTATGGAGGAAGAAAAATGAATCCGAATTGAATCATCCATAAAGATATCCGGTCCAAAATTAAAAGTTTGGTTTACCCAGCTGTAATATAAGGTAGCCTAAGGTGCATGTTACTCTTAGTTTATTTTAACCCTAAGGCACTTGGATAAAAGTTAATTTGAACAAGTACTGTAATTGGAAAAAAAACATGAGGGCTAAACTTGAAAATTAAGGGGACTTTAAAAAAACACTCATGCATGGATCCATTTGAAAGTACCCAGGATTAATTGCAGGTTTACTTAGTACTCCCTCTGGTTTCATTTTAATTGACGTTTTGAACAATGACACGGTCTACAAGATATATTTTTGATCTTATTTTTCTATATAATAAATAAATGCATGTTTACTTTTATTATAGTACTTTAAAAGACAAATCTATAAATGTTGTTCTAGTTCCTTTAAACTAAATATTATTAAAGTTATTGATGGTCAAAGTTATAAAAGTTTGACCTCAACCTTGTCCAAAACGTCAATTAATATGGAATCGGAGGGAGTAGCTTACTACTTCTATTACTCACTCCAGTTTCAAATTAGTTGATGCTTGGAGCTTGGACCCTTTGGATGATAAAACTTGACGTTTTAGCCTCCATGTGATTAATTTAGACTGATTTACCCCTGCATGGCTGCATGCATACATCGAGTCCTGCACAAAACAGTAAGAAGATGCTTTGGGACTAACAGCCAACCACTAGGTTAAGAGGATGTGCTTGTTAGATGCGCCTTCCTAATGTATTTAATATGGATAAAACAGGAATACGCACACTAACTAACCATTTCTTGGTATGTGAGATCCTATCCAAAATGTTAATTAATTTGAAACCGGAGGGAGTATAGTAGTTTACTTAATTGTAGGAGTACTAGTTTTACATGGAGTATGATACTCTCTCTTGCCACTATTTTAGGCCACCAACTTTTGCATTGCATTATGAATGGGGGAATTGAAGAGAGAGATAAGCCTGAGTTATTTTAGAGACTCTTCTCCTTTCTCTCTTTCTCACTACAGTAAATTCCCCTTCTCTCTTTCTCGCTACAGTCCCCCCTCCGTCCCCTCTTTCGTCGTTGATTCCAGTGGCTCACCGTCAGTGATGGCTGGAAGAGGGGTTAGGGTTTTCTCCTTTCAAGCCTAGTTTAGTCCTTGTGGTTGTCCTGTTAGTTGTCGGGTTTGTCGGCCTATGGCGGTGACCGGTGTAGGGGTCCTTGGTGACGGAGGTGGTTGGAGATGGTGGCAATGTGCTTCTAGGACGATGAATCGCATCTCCGGTGGTGGAGACACCCTCTTGCTGTGGTCCCGATGGGTGGTGGAGGTGGCGGGTCTTCTTCCAGATCTGCTGAGGCATGGTGGTGGAGGTGGCGGCGGTCCCAATGGCGGTGGCTAGAGAGGCTCTGCGCACACGCAGGCAACGGCGGTGGGACCGACGCGGTGGAGCGACCGTTGGCAGTGCCTGTCGTGGCGTGTCAACTCGCTCGAGAACATCGTGTCGGAGAACCTGTCACGGCCGGTGGCTCACCGGAGGTTCAACAGCATCACGGCGGCGGCGGCGGAGGAGAGAGCGCCTATATTGGGATCTTTGTGGATGGGTGTATGCACTGGCCATGATCTTGTAGTTTCAAGTTGCATGCCACCTCTTCCTCAGTCATCTTCATCCTCTCAGCAAGATAAGTTGATTTGCAGTCATTCAAATGCTCCAATGTTGAAGGTTGGCTGATATTCGAATTTGCCCTCTCTTTTGTTCCCTAGCAGCAGAAACCATGTTGGGTTTGTCATTTGGGTTGAGCTCGGACCACATGCACAATATCGGTTGACAGGTTTGATGTTAAATCTCCTCAAATTCAATGACAAACTTCGTGGGAATCCTTTGCTGAGTCCAGTGATGCTCACACCAAAATCTATGGCTCAGTATAACAAACCTCTGTTTTGTGTCGTTTCCGCGGAGGCAGCATATAGGATTAATGGCTTGTCAAACGGTGTGCACGTCAAATGAGGTCCAAGGTAGCCATCGTCGCGGCATTGCCACAGCTCCCTATCGACATGCTCCTTTTTCTGTTGTTTGGTTATATTAGGAAGGTTGCTTCTGTAGTTTACTTAACCCTCCTTCTCACAAGGATGGCTCTTTGCTTTCAGTTATTTATCTTTGGATATGTATTGGGGTTTATCCTCTAAACTCTGTTCTTGGTTAATAAAGTTGTTTGTGTGTTAAAAAAAAGAAAAAGAAAGGGAGAGATAAGCCTTTTTCTGAGCTGCAACAGTGCTAGTAATGGCCGGAAGGGTGGATGATGGATGGTACTGGAAGCTGATCTGTAAAAGAAAGAAAAGTGGACACGGCGTAAACTGATCGATCGAACAGCATCTATCAAAGCAGCTGGTAAGAAAAGGCAGAGGCAGGCAGGCAATGATGTAGCTAGCTACTCCCTCCATCCTATAATATAAGAGATTTTAACTTTTTACTTGCACTGTTTGACTACTCATCTTATTTAAAAATTTTTAGAATTATTATTTATTTTATTTGTGATTTACTTTATTATCTAAAGTACTTTAAACACAACTTTTCGTTTTTTATATTTGCACAAATTTTTTAATAAGATGAGTGGTCAAACAGTACAAGCAAAAATACAAAATCCTTTAATATTATGGGACATAGGAAGTATTAACCATCTAGAACTAAATTAAGGATCTGTTTAAAAAGCTTTAGATTAATTAGAAGCAACGAGAACGAATCCAACTGACGAGGATATGGAGCTCCCCAAACATGTCCTAATTAAGACTCTCAAGGAGTAGTAGTAGTACTCAAGCAAAGTCGTTAGTAGGTAAACTGCAGACCAGCTGATCGATTACCCAACTAACAATCGTAATAGTACTAGTCTACTATTACTTCGTTTTCCGTCGCCTACTTGGTTCTCTCTCGATGGATGACTCGATCGATCGTCATCGTTGGCTGCCGAAGCACAACCACACAACTCACCGTATCCAACTACTAATTCAATCTGTCGCTCTCCCGCTCCTTAATTAATTAATTAATTACGTGCTATTTATTTCTTGGACTATTACTCATCATTGACATCAACTAAATTAACCCAAGTAGGATGCATTTTTCTTGACCTGAATCATGCTTGCTTTGCAGCATGCATGCCTGCCGTAAAGTCTAAGCTTCACATGGTTATTATTAGTTAATTAATAGTAGAAATAATATAGTCATTTCTGCTACCTACTCCCACTTTCTGAGAGAATACCTGTTGATAAATTAAACTTCCTGTGGGCAGCAGCAGCAGCTAGTGTTCGTCCAGTCCAGGTTCAGCCATGGCGCCCACCTCTCGCTCTCCCGCCGCCCTCTTCCTGCTGCTCGCGCTCGCCTGCGCCGCGCCGCCGCTCCTGCGGGCGGCGGACACGCACCTCCACTTCTTCATGCACGACGTCGTCTCCGGCAGCGGCCAGACGGCGGTGCAGGTCATCAAGGGCCCGACGTCGGCCAACGGTGGCGTCAGCACCGGCTTCGGAGACACCACCGTCGTCGACGACGCGCTCACGGAGACCTCGTCGGCGACGTCCCCGGAGGTGGGGCGCGCGCAGGGGTTCTACATGATGTCGTCGCTGTCGAGCCCGACGCTGATGATGTGCGTGAACCTCTACTTCACCGCCGGCGAGAACAACGGCAGCACCATCGCGGTGATCGGCCACGACGACACCACGGCCACGGTGAGGGAGCTGTCCGTGGTGGGCGGCACGGGCAAGTTCAGGATGGCCACCGGCTACGTGGTGTGGAAGACGGCCAGCATGAGCGCCAGCACCGGCGTGTTCGAGCTCGACGTCTACGTCACCACGCCCAACGCCACAACCATCGACGCCTCCGCGCCGGTGTCGCCGTTGGACGGCGGAGGCAGCAGCGGGTCGACGTCGACGGCGAAGTCGGGCGCGGCGGGGCGACAGGTGGGGTGGGTGAGTGCGTGCGTAGTGGGGTTGGTGGTGGCGTTGGTTGGGCGTGGTTGGTGAGGCGTCGAGTCGTCGGTGTCCAAGAGATTCGTTGGTGCCTTCTCTTTGTTTTCGAGTCTTTTAGTTTGTTGGAATCGGATTCCCGTACTGAACCTGCTTTTACTGCAAGTTAATTGTTTGGTTGGTTGGTTGCCTTCCTGTCACTCCACCTTGACCGTGAAGGTATTACTGTACTGCAGCATAAAGGTCCCCACCTTGACCACCATCTTCACCATCTATCTATACATTTTATTTTCACAATAAAGATGGTCAATTATTTAGTTTTATCTCCTAAAATTCTTTGATATGGCTTATATGTATTATTTTTTATAGAAAATCCCTTTTAAATCTTTCAAATATGAATATAGTATAGTTTTTTTAGGACACCGGGGGATATAGTATAGTATAGTATAATTTTGACTCCCGCACGCATGCTCTTTTCTAGAAAATGATTCGGGATGGGCGCCCGATCCAGCGATAGAAAAATCAGGTTCATCTCCCCAGCACTGCTGCCACGTTGCGTGCTGCCCCCAATGCCCCTAGCGTTACTATTCATGCATGTCCAACTTTAACAAAACTTTAAGTATTTTTTCTCCTAATCGGATCTACAATTCGATTATACCATTATATTTGTTATAATTAAATCTTTATAACATGATCTCATATGATTATGTTCCGACAAAAATATTTTTTAAGTTTTTTGTTGCAATAGATTTTATAAATGTTGCAATAAATATATTATGATGTTTCACTATGTCATTTGGATTGTTGCATGTCGTGTTCTTTAGATGTCTCAGAAGGTATTTTGTGACGTTTCAGAACGTATTTCACTAGATCATTTGGAATGTTGCACGTGGTGTTATTTGAATGCTTCAGAAGGTATTTTGTAATGTTTCAGTAGATACTTCACTAGCTCAGTCGCAATATTGCACGTGGTGTTCTTTGGATTTTTGAGCAAGTATTTATGATGTTTCACTAGGTATTTTACTAGCTCATTTGAAATGTTGCACATGGTATTTTTTTTGGATGTTTTAGCATATGTTTCACTAGGTCATTTAGGATGTTGCACGTTGTTATTTCGATGTTTTAACGTATATATTTGTAATGTTTCTACGGTTACAAATCAATGTTTCATTTATAATATAAAAATGTTTTAATTAGTAATATAATTATATATTTTTTATTTATCCAAAATATAATCATGTGAAATCTCGTTGTAAAGATTTAATTACAATAAATTCAACGGTGCAATCAGATCAAAAATTGGATGGCAGGAGTTTACATTTACCCAACATGAGGAAGAGAAGAAATGACTGCATGAATGCATATGGAGGTTTCCTACTCCCTCCATCCAATTTCAAGTGCAGCCATGGTTTTTCGCGCCCAACTTTAACCGTCCGTCTTATTTAAAATATTTTGAACAAAATTAAAAATATAAGTCACGAGTAAAATACAAATCATATTTTATCATCTCATAATAACAAAAATATTAATTATAAAAAAAATTTCAAATAAGATGGACGATTAAAGTTGGACGCGAAAACTTATGGTTGCACTTAAAATGGGATGGAGGGACTAGAAAGAAAAGGTTGGATGCATGCTTAGAGCAAGTTTAATACTATGTCATTTGGATTGTTGCATGTTGTGTTCTTTAGATGTCTCAGAAGGTATTCTGTGACGTTTCAGAACGTATTTCACTAGATTATTCGGAATGTTGCACGTGGTGTTATTTGAATGCTTCAGAAGGTATTTTTGTAATGTTTCAGTAGATACTTCACTAGCTCAGTCGCAATATTGCACGTGGTGTTCTTTGGATTTTTGAGCAAGTATTTATGATGTTTCACTAGGTATTTTAGGACACCGGGGGATATAGTATAGTATAGTATAATTTTGACTCCCGCACGCATGCTCTTTTCTAGAAAATGATTCGGGATGGCCGCCCGATTGTCACGCCTCGAACTAGTACCGAACGGAACTAGCCCGTGACGCTTCAAATTAACCTGTTCATCGATACCAGTCCCAGGAAGCAGTGCTGGTATCACAAGAAGACGGATTTTCACAGCAACAGAGGTCTCTTTATTATAGAGTAGAGTTACAGTCATGTTGGGCTGCGGACAGATCCCGAGCTCACAACTGCATTACAAAAGGGAAACGGAAGCCAGGACTTGGATCAAACAACACAGGCGCGACTTGGGAACTAGGCCGAAACCCTAAAACTCATCGTAGCCGGCTTGCTCCTGGAAGAACTCCTCATCAGCAGGATCCGCTTCATCTTCTTCAGCAACTGGGGGGGATTATTTATATAGAGCAAGGGTGAGTACGGGAGTACTCAGCAAGCCATGGGAAATAAGTGTTTAATGCATGCTTCAAAGAAAGGCTGTTGTTTTTGCAATTGATTTTATTTGAACTCTTTTCTAAAAACGACTAAGTGAGTGCTTCTCAGACGACACGGATGAGACAGTGCGTCTCGTCCGGTCGGAGTATGTGCAATGTATCAGTCTTTAGAATTGATTCAAGGTTGGCACCCGACCAACAGCTTTTCAAACGGCCACCCGGGCCAACAACTTTTCAAACGGCCACCCGGGCCAACAACTTTCAAATGGCCACCCGGGCCTAGCTGATCCCATCAGCTGCAGATTTTTCAAACATCGAACCCCTTTCCACAACAGCAATTTCACAAGCAGTAGTCAAACAAAACTACGCTAGGAATCACCTTACATCCGCCCATGACCGTGGGCACGGCTGTTCAAACAGTTTGTTAACCTCTGCAGAGGGGGGTACACTTTACCCACACGACATTACTAACCCGGATCACCCAGCCCGTAGGGATCAGCCACGTCGGGAGACCTCCAAGCTTTCATGACAAGGCATTTCCAAAGCCGACACAGGTTTACCATATGCCGACGAGAGGGGTCCCAGACCAACAACAGGTTAGGTCCCAGACCATACTGTGCCAGGAAGCCCAGGGGTCCTCCCCGACACCACCCCGGCGAATCCACATGTCTCTCTCGGCATCAAGGCTCCCCTGATAAGCTAGTTACTCAGCCAGTGGTGTCCCATTCCACCCATGTGGTCGTACTTGTCTTATGTTTGGATGAAATTCCAAGGAAACGGTTCTTAGGTGCAAGAGCGAGAAACCGTACACCCGGTACGTTCCCCGGTCCGCGGTTTTGGAAATTCATTTAGTTCGCAAGCACCGACCCAGGTGTCGGGTTTTCCAAGTCTTTTGTAAAACCCAAGTTTTACCCAAGAAATTTTTCAGATTTTAGGTTTGAAGGCGTCCGTCGATACTCGCACAGGGTGCACGAATATCGAGACGCAACTAGATGGTTACAAGGGGACATGATATAACAATTAACAAAGGAAGGATCAAATGCAACAAATTAGGTAGGTCCGCCAATCTGCCTTGCAGACGGGACAACAGATTAAGTGCGATCCTATCAATGCATAATATTTTTCAAGCAACATAATTAAGTTCAAATATAGGCTCAAGATGTTCAAAGGTGGCTTGCCTTGCTCGAGATCTTGAGCTTGATCCTCGAAATCCTCGCACTGCGGGTCTTCGGGCTCCGAAACTACACGCGAAACGGGACAACTCAACAAACGGCGAAAATAAAGCCCTATTAATGACCTCTAAGCGTGCCATTAGATAGATCTCGAGATTTGAGGAATTTTGGAAGTTGAACGAAGTCAAACGGATTTACGGTTGGGAAGATATTGAATTTTTAAGATTATTGGATTTTTGGTCTAAAGGAAAAGGATTTAATTAAATCCTTTTTGGAAAAGAAAAGAAAAGAAAGAAAAGAGGGAGGGAATATAGACTTTTCTCGGGCGGCTAGGGCGCGGCCCAAGAGAAATGGAGCGGTCCGGCGGAGGAGAGAGAGAGAGCCGGTGGACCGGGCTCACCACGCGCGGTCCCGGGTGGGACCAGCTTGTCGGTGACACGGCTCACCGTGCGGAGCGAGCACGCGGCGCACACGCGCGGGTGAGGAAGGGATGCGGTGCACGCGCGCGGTTCGCGGTGGAACGGATGCGGCGGGCCCACGCGCAGCCTCACGGCTCACGGTGGAACGCGCGCACGGGAGGGACTGACCGGGGTCGGCCCGATCCGATCTCGGCCGAGCTGGTGCCGACGTGGCGCCTACGTGGCGCCTACGTGGCTGCTACGCGGGCTGGCGGGAGGAAGACGAAGGCGTCGGCCGCGAATGGAAGGCGGGCGGCGGCGGTTTCTCCGGGGCGCCTTGCGACGATGAGGGGGGACGGGGCATACACCGGGATGACGAGGAAGAAAGAGAGGGAGCGAGCCAACGGCTTGGATTCGCCGGAGGGAGCCCGTCGGCAGAGGATTTCGGCGGCGGCAACCGGCGGAGAGCAAAGGGGGAAACGGCGACGAGGTCACGAGGGGCCAATTCCTGGCGGTGAGAGCATCTACGCGGCTACGGGAATCCGTTGCTAGCGTCGGATTGAGCGGAGCTACGCCGAGCGAGGCCGGCGACGAGCGGGTGCTACGGAGCACGGGCGGCGACGGCGGAAAGCACACTGCGAGCGGCGGCAACGGTCGGGGCGGCGCCGGCTAGCTACGGGGAGGCTACTCGAGCTACTACCGAAAACTAAGGGGGGGAGACGGAGCGAGGAGGGAGAACGGAGGGAGGCACTACCGAGATGAGGAGGGGCGCTGTGACGAGAGGCCGACGGCGCGGGAGTAATCTCTCCGGCCTCGGGCCGGGGAAGAGGAGGAAGACGAGCGCCCGGAGTCCCCTTCCGCGTCCACGACCGCACCGGCTCTCCCGGCGCTTGGCGGCGAACGGCGGAGGCGAGACAGAGCTCGGAAGGCGGTGGCAACAATGGAGTGGAGGCGATAGGAGGAGAAGAGAGGGAGGGCGCCCGGGGCTTTAAGGGCGGCAATGTCGGTTTGGAAACCGACTTTGGGCGGTCAAGGCGCGAGCTGGCGCTCGGCGCTCGCATCCAAATCGGCGACAGGGCGGAGGGAGGATGACGCCGGCGGGAGGAAAAGGGGAAAAAGGAGGGAGAGAAAGGGGGCTCGCCCCTTGCTTCTTTGGGAAAAGGAGGAGGGGAGCGGGGGCGTCGCGGCAGAGGGAGGAGGGGGCTCTGCCTCCGTCCCTTGGCGGCTTGCGCGCGGAGTAGCGGGGGCCGGGCGATGACGACGGCGATGACGGCGGGGCGGTTTGGAGCGGCGCGACGACACGGGCGACAGGCGCGGGCTGGCGCGGCAGAGGGTGACGGCGGCGGCGACCAGGCGGTCGGCCACCACGGCACGCGCGCGCGG